TTTTAAGTAGTAATGATCATAATCAAAATAGAGATAAATATGTTTTAGATATTACAGAGTATTATGAATGAACTAAATGATGCAATTATTAGTGGCTATCCTCTAAAATTTATTCAAGGATGTTTGCTATCAATGTCGAAATATCAAGTATATAGGTTTAAATAGGATTAGTATCACAGCTTTAAATAGATCAATTGCATATCTAATTCTCATATAATTAGACTATTTTCTGAGACCAGTCATAATAATTTCAGGGGACATCAAGTCTTTTCACACTGTTATTTTAATCTAACAGATTTTAAATATTTGAAAAGTAGTTATTCAATATTTGAACCAAGCAAGAGATAATTTGGACAAATTGGCAGTAATTACCCAAATTTTGGGTAGTTAAAATGTTAACATGAAGCGGTTCTATTAAAAAATATGAAGTAACCTTATTATTTCATGTTGTACAATGCCATTCTCATATTAATCACAAGGATGAGTCTGAGTAACTGAACCATCTATAGACTCGAGCAAGTATGGGGAGGGCAACCCTAGAATTTATCATTAGTCAACTGATATAAACTATTTCCTAGAAGTTTATTCAGTTTTTTAAAAGTAGCATTGATATACATTCATTGCCATCTGCTTTACTCTCTGAAAAATGATCAGTATAGTCATTAATGATAATCGGTTGTGATTAAATACTACATTTGAATTTGCTTGGAGAAATTGAATAATAAATTTTGATACCCCTTTTTACCAAAGTCAAAATAGACACACTATTAAATTTTTCCACACTAATTAGTTCTACATTAATAAATGAAGAAAGAAATGAAACTCTAACTTAGGACAAGAAAATTCCCATGCGAAAAATTAAACAATGTTTACTCACAAAAAGTTATGATTAAAAATTTCTACAAACTTTGTTACAGCTACATTATATCACAGAATAGTAGCTGAATCAAAGATCTAATAATCAAACAAATGGCATAGCATTTTGAGTTCAACAACTATTAGGATCAGCTGATAAAGCCTAAGATGTCCTAAAAACAGTAATAACAAAGCTTTTCAAGAAACCCTATACAAAGAGGTGTGTGTTTTCCTTTATAAATTCTCACATTTAGTGCAGATTTGCTTGTAAGAAAAGTGTTAAAGCATATATGAATGTAGATACAACTTAGGCGTAGAAATATTTTATAAGTAACACTCAATCTCAAAAAATATAATATGGATATGATTCTACACTCAATAAAGGAAAGGAAAGTTTTTGCTCATGTAGCTTTGACAAATATTGAAGCATTGCCATGATGCTAAGGATAGAAAGCAGACAATATAAGAAAATCAGCTTTTAAATTTGACTCCTATATTATGCATTCTACTAGAGAAGGTTGATAAACATTCCTTTACTGGTATTATTCTCTTGGTGAGATGAAGAAGCGTATCCTGAGAAGGACATAACCAGTCAAGCTCTTGTTAAACAACTATTCAAGAAAACAGAACTACTATTAGAGTAGGTAGATAGGCATTTCTACATAATTCGGACTATATCTTAAAAATATATATATCCAAAAAGTAGTTGATTATTCATGGCATTTATAAAAAGGATTTCGCATGCTTCAGGTTATTTGTCCACTGCCTGAAGCATTTGTTACAATCTACAAGAAATTTTATGATTTCAACTGAATATACTTCTTTTAGTTCTCCTTATTTATTATTTGACTCTTGTTTAAAGCATTATTTTGACACCTTAATTAGTCAAATCAATATATACTGTATCAAAATAGGTCATAATTCGTAATGACCCTCTCTTAATTAAAATTGCCTCTTCCAAATTTCTCACCCACATTTAGGTCCAGAATAACATCATTAGGTGAACTTATTTAATACAAAAGAGTTTAACAATAACATTAACTTTAGTTTGTTTGGTTGATTCTTTCTACTTGATAAATATAACTTAGCCTAAGTAGTTAGAGATATTTTATGGATGGGGATTTGTTATTTCTATTTAACAATTATACTAATTAATTAGTTTCATTTACTGAAATCTTCAAATCATCTCCACTATTTTTTTGCCTCTATGTCATTAAGATGTATTCATTTTTATAATTAGCCTTAAGCTGTAACCCTTGTTCTTTTCATTCAGTAAGCATCGCATTGATCATTTTAATAAAGATTCATATTTAGTTAGAAGATTTTAATATTACCATTTAACTTTTTCTGAGAGATAATTTCCTTATGATACTAATATTATGATTTTTAGATTCCATGATTATAGTCTTAGTTCCTAAAGGGACAGAATCTATAATAATCTTTTTAATTTGTGAAATTAATATCTATTAATTTCTTAGGTATATAGAGAATTTATTTACTACGCTTCTTCTTTGAGGGAATCAAAAATAAATTGGTTTGTGGATGAGTTTAAGCAATGTTACTCTGAAAACAGGAATTGAAGTTGTATTCGTAGATTATGTATTTATTTTATCTTCTAATTATGATCACCCTTCTAAATTTTTATTTATTGAGGTCATCCACTCTTTTCATTATTGTAACAATCAGGATTTATCACCAAATGTTTGATAAACCTACAATGCAGAATTATATTTTAGATGTTACCTTAAAGTATATTATCAGAAACCATATTTTATGAAATATCGCTTTTATTAAACATAGAGCTATTTAAGGATTTAATATTATTTTCTTACATAAGAAAATAGTGCGAATACTAAAGTAGTTCTTTCTTTATATGAATTATAAAGGGACATCCAATTAATGATCATAGCATAATGAATGAAAAATATCTGCCCATGTGGTTTACTATTACCTTACTCATCTCTTTATTAAAATAAAATTGCTTATAGCGTTTGATAATAGAATTTATGGGTCTCAGAAATTCGAGTATTGGTCGGATTTAATTTTAATTTGCCTCATCAAATTAATGCTAGGTTTTTTAGAGATGGAACGTAAAGTAAAGAAGTTGTTAGAATAGTTGACATCTTATATTGAGGATATCCTTATATACTAATAAAATAATTAATTCATTTCAAGTAGTTCTAGTTTTCTTTTAAGAATATAAGTTGTTAAAATAAAGAGGAGCAATATTTACAAGATTAATCGATTCAAATGCTAAAATATGCATTTGCCGAATATATATTTAATGATTACGCATATAATTTTATCATATTATGTAATTATCTACTAAATAAAGGAGAAGAGAATACATTAAATTAAATTAATTAGAGCTTGATTAAATAAATATTGAAAATAATCAGCATTTTAATGGGATTGAAATTACTAAGAATATTTAACTAGCTATAATTACCTGTTAACTAATTTAAGTGTTATTTTATTTTAATTTCTAAATTTTCACTTTCTAAATTTAGTCTTGCAAACTTAAGAATATTTTTTTGATTTTTTTATAATTCTTTAAATTCTTAAAATAAAAGAACAGGAATAAAGTGAAAATACTTATTATCTTAAAGAAAACTTAGAACTACTTTTATACGCAATTTATATTAATACTTCTCAAGAACAATCTTAAGTATCCATCCCTTTTTATTCAATAAAAAAAAAGATTTCTGCATTTTTATCCTAAGATATTTTTTCAATGCAGCAGATAACCCGATTTTAGCATCGCTATGTAGCATGCTTTTCTAGCATCTCGACCTAATTTAATAAAGAGCAAAGGCTTAATTGCTTTTTTAGAAAGAATTGAAAAATTCATTAACTAATATGCATTTAACCGTCCAAATATATCTGAAGAGATTATGTAATTGCCGATTTGATAATTTAAAAAGTTTAAAATTAAAATTATATAAGTTGTTAATATAATCTATGCTTAAATATTGAATTTGAAAATGTATGACCTAATTGGCTGTGCTTCAAAAATTTGAATTCGACCTTGTATTTGAAGGATTAAATTAAGATGCTAGAATCAATATTTTTCGTAATTTTTCATATCGAAAAAAAATCATATTTTAAGCATTATTTCTTTGTATCACCATATTATTGGTTTAATAAAATAAAATTTAGGTTACTTTAAATTATTCATTTTTATTAATTAATAAAACTGCAATGTAAACAATTTTACCAGAAACATATAAGGACAATAAGAAAGAATAAAACTAGAACAGCTTTACCTAACTTTCTATGATGGAGAAGATATTTATTGTAAAGAGTTAATGATTTAACATCTCAGAAAAGGAGATTAAAATCAATCTGAAGAAAAATTCTTAATAAGTAATGGAAGATGATTATATATATTTAATGCAAATAGAAAGACAAGTGCAAAATTCGAAAAATCTCTATATAAAATAAATTGAAATAATTTACAAATAGAATCAGAATTTTAGCAGAATTATAATATAAACTCAATGATAATACCCTAATTAACAATCAACCAGCAGATATTAATGATTGTAAATAATTTGACTTTGTTGTAAATAAATGATAAAAGGATGAGAATGAAAATTAGTAATATTTTGTTATTATTTAAAGAATGAAATAATTTTGGTAAATTTAATTTCAAATATAAATTTATCTAAAAGATTAGAGCCTTAACTTGTGCAAAATTTAAATCCTTAAATTCAGTATCAATCTATGAAATAAATATATAATTAATGAAAAAAAATTCTTCTAACAAGAATTGAGAAAATACGATTAAACTGTGTAGCTCTTATGAATAAGAAAATGAAGAATTCCAAAACATTAGTAAGCATTTGCAATTGCAATTAATTTTAGAGAATGACCTAATTTCAATTAATATCATTAGAAGAATAATCTAAAGTTTATTAATTAAGCAATTAGTAGAGTAGTAAAATTTAATAATTTTTATAAATAGAATCTACACCATGCTACTTTTTAGAAATTTTGCCAAATTATTTGAATTTTCTATATTATTCTTAACAAATAGGATTTTTTGATGCTTAATATTATGATAAGATTTTAAGAATTAGTTTATTAATCAACAGTAAACATATGAAAGCAAACTGATATACTAATTGATATAAGAAGCTTTAATGATGTTATCTGAACCTTGTCATATAGTAGCTATTAATAAATTCATTCAGATATTGGCAGTCATTTGTAGGAAGACTATTACGATATTTAAATTTAGACTTGGTTTCCTTAAATTAGCTTAAATTTTAATTGAACACACAAATTATGTATTCTGTTTGATATTATGAAGCTCTCAAATTAGTTAATATCTTTTGGAAATAATTAATCAATCTTTTATTGGAGGGGTAACAAAAAATTAGAAGGACATTTTAGTTTTATAAGTTGAGTCTTAATTAAAAACACTGACATCTTAGAATCTCAGGTAGCGATTCGAAAACGTTCTTAAGAAATCAGAAATACTGTAATAGTACTCTTTAAAAAATAGCTTCTACATTAATATTATAAGATAAAATGAAAAAATTAATTTATAGTAGAATATTCTATTAATTTTGAAATTTATATGGAATAGCAAGCGAAGATGGACATATTTAATTATATGTGACAGTTAGTCTAAAACAATTCAAGTTAGAACAAATATCAAAACATGAATATAATAAAACAACTCATCTAATTATTAGCGATTTATAAATCCTAAACATCAAAGTCCTTAAGCTATGAAGTCTTCATTTGATTTATTACTCATATTAATCTTGTTAATCCATTGGTAAGATATTATAAGCTCCAAAAATATCTGACTGCTACTCTTAATCAAAATCATTTATCCATTTAACCAGTCTTAGTTCTTGAATATGCTTATGATATTTTTTCCCTGTTTTGCACTATATAAGATCTTTATTTTGTGTGCATTTATTCAATCTCCTTTAACTCTTTAATTAGAGCAATTTTATCAATTTTCAATAAAGTAATTAGGCACTATGGATATTTTATTGCCTTATTTTAATTTTTTTTTTTTATTGATATGAATTAATTCTAAAATTTTCTAAATATGATAAATAAGATATCATCAATTTTATATTGATTAAATTTGACATTAATGTAGCAGTCAATAAGTTATAAAGCGATTTCATTCATTATTAATTCTCTTTAATAAGATCTATGTTTATTTATTTCTTAATATTAACACACTTATGCAATCAAATTCCTAGATGTTTAATCTTCGTAATAAATCTCTCTAATCTCTTTTTTAATTATTTTTTATTAACATTTTTAACTCTTTATTGAATTAGAAGTTCTGACATAGATAATTTTGAATGGTAATTCATTATGATGAAAGGATAAATTACAATTGTGCTAATTACAAATTTAGGGATATAATTTGAATAATTCTGTAAAATTATTAGGAAGACAATCAATTTTGATTTAATCAGATCCTTTGTTTTAAATTAAGATCATATTCCTTGGTAGTATATAAGTAGTTTATCTTATTTGGATTTTATAAATTTTATATTAAGAAGCTCTCAAAATTAAGAACTAAAGATTTGGTATTAAAGAGTAAGTGATTTCATTTGGAAGCCGTTTGGAAAATCTACTAAATTTTTATAACTGCCTTTATAAATTTTTTCTAGCTCCTTTGAAGATATTTTAATTTATTAGGAAGGTATTGCATTTAAAGAATATCAAATATGGGGAGTAATGTGAGTTTAGCAGATGGTATTTTTATTTCCAAGAAAACTGGTAAGATATCCATTTCTAATTAATTACAATTTTTAATTTATAAAAATATTATTTTACTTTTTCATTGTTGCCTACTAATAAACCTAAGTATTTGTAATCTTAAACTACAGGATAGTTCATACCATTACTGATCTTATTTTGATTGTGAAGCAAAAATGATCTATATTAATTCTTCATGTATTTTGAATTTTTTGTATATGAATTTAAAAAACATAATAATTAATTAATTTTATTTCAAATTGCAATTAATTTCAAACAAATAATTACTTTTTTTTAATTTTTAAAGTAAGGTTTTTAAGACTATATCTAAAAACAGGTTGAATAGATGAACTGAAGGGAAACCATTATATTGCTATACAAGAAGATTTTAAAGCCATATAAGTAAATTAGAAAGGCTTCTGAGTTAAATTATCATCTTACCCAAAAATTTAAGATACAAATCGAAAACTAATGAACGTTTAATTACTCATTTCTAAGAGATAAGCATAGCTTTCTAAAATTAAAGGCCTATGGCTTATATGACTTCTGTGACAACATAGGGTTCCAATTGTATGAATTAGATATCCTAATAATCTAGTTGATACATCCCTAAACACAAGAGAAAGTAAGCTTTAGTTCAACCGCTGCATATTCAGTGAGCTATACGATGCTGATCCATTTAAATACACTAAAGCTAGATCTGAACTTTCTGGCCATTTTTTTGATTGTATTTGGAGGAAAATGGCGAAATAGATTCCCTATTTAGTCTTTTATGAAACTATTGCATGAGATGATGCTTTAAAGGGTGAAATTGTATTTTAAGTTAAGTTCTTGGATTAGAAGATAAGATTATAGTAAGCTTTTATAGTTGGTGGAATTCATAAACAGCAAAATGGAAGAATAGTTGAGGCTTCAAGGTATTAAGGCAAATTAGCTAGTTGCTGTATTCCAGAAGGCTTTGTTATTTGGAATAAAAGAGTAGGAAATTGTGAGAGAGTTATCGTGAAGAAGTAACTTATTAAATAGTTTTCGACTTTGATTTATCAAATAAATAGGTCTTGACTCAAGGGGTATAACAATTAATTCTGCTTAGTTTTAAAAACACAGAATTTTAATTTAGCAACTTTTTATTTTCAAGATGAATGGTGATCTGGTCTAGATCTTGAGGGAAATAACTCTTTTTTTAGAACAAGATAATACCAAGCATACACTGATTGATGATTAATATCCACAATATAATGTAAAATTCTGTAGTTTTCTCTCATTGAACGCTTTTTCAGATACTATTTGCAGCCTCTACTATTGGTATAATAATAATTTAACAAGTATTTAATTTATGATTTTTCTTTAATACAATTGTTTTCTTTTTAATGTCAAACACGGTCATCGATTATATGGAATCATTTTACATTTCATTATTAAAGCAAAAATTTCTACATGTTTGATAGCAATAAGTTTTCTGCTATTAGCGGATAAGGATTCCAGTATAGATATAAATGATTTGAATACAGACTTCTATGTACTCTGATATTTGCTAGCATTGAAAAGTTAAATTCAAACTACTAATTTTCTTTATGCCTTACTTAACTTAGATCTAACTTAGTAAGTAAGATTTGAAATTTGAATTAGCGACCTAACTTTGATAATGAAATTCTTCTTAAAGCATCTTATCAAGGAAATATAATGAAGGTTATAATGAAGTTAAATAAAGAGTTGAAAGTTAAATTATTTCCATGAGTTATATCTAATCCCTATTAGGTAAAGACTCATCAATAAAAAATTATTATATCCCAACCCACTCAGGAGCAAAATTATATCAAAAATAAGAATGAGAATCAAAAAAAATATCACTAGCCCAACACTATTAAGAGTAGTTAAAGTATAAATATTATTATTTCACGAATACCAAGTTTACATTGGATATAATCTCATGTTGAAATTTTTATGAGTCAAGGATTACTCTCTCTCCTTAATGATGATTGAGGTAACTGTAGCATTGAATGATTTATTCACCTTATCTTGAAATAGTTCAATTTCAATTGTTCAGGATCTATTATTAAGTATCGAATACACAATTCAATAATTTAAAATTTCCCAATAAATAAATGTTTGTCTTTGAATACGTAAGCTTTTTCAGAAATACATTGTATTGAAGATTTATGTTTTTGTTAGAATATATTTTAAGAAAAGATGAAGAATACAACAAAATGAGCAAATCAGCCTCCAGTGTAGATGGTAATGCAAGAGCGACTATATTTTCAGATTTAATTAAAGCTTGCACAACTATTGGAATTAAATCCATAAAAGACATTTTTGAATAGCAATTATATAAATTCACTTGAATAGTTTTTATCACCTTAATCTTTACAAATTTTGTTAAAAAAGTTAAAAATGAATTAATATATAAATATTATATAGTTTTAATTTTATAGTCAATACCAGTAACACAATGATTTTCTATATAAACTGATTCTATCTCTTGACTAACTTTGAATTGGAACAATTTTAAATATAATAAAATATATAGAATGATATTCTTATGATTCTGGAGGTTGCTGAGGTTTAATAATTATGATGATTTATATTTATAACTAGTCTAAGCGATTTTTCAGTAGATAAAAATATAAAAATACATTGTTTAATAACATACCACTCAAATAATTATGCATGGTGATAAAAAAATTCTCCGTATGTAATGAAAATCTAACTTTAAATAATATGTTAAAATCTCAATTTTTCATTGGGTTAGCCATTTACTAGAGCCCTTAATTAAGGGTACTTGTTTAACCTTGAACATCCGATTAGATTATAATTGGTTAAAATTCTTATGGATTCCAGTTTTCAGGTTAGATCAATGGTTGAATATCTTCTTCAGGAGGTAAAGCAAAAATAGTAATTGGAATCTGCACAGTGGGTCTAGGTGAACAACAAGAACAACCTAAATAGATTTACACTTACCCTCATAATGTGGCTGAACTCTCAAATGATATTTTGAATTCACGAATAATCCTTTATTTGATGGAATTAGGTGCTAAAGAGGCTTTTTTAAATTAATCAATTATAATTAGTACTCTTACTTTTACTCAGGTTAAATTTTAGTTCCTTTTTAAGGACCTTTGTGGTATTAATAATTTAATTCAAATTCAATCACCCTTTCTCTATTTGAATTTGATCTCAATCTTAATCTATTCACAATTACAGAATCAACCTTTTCTAGATCAAGTTGACAATTTGTGTTGTCTATATCATAATCAAAGTTGAGAAATTCATTTGGAAAAAATGCATTTTTTTCTATTTTCACTTCAATTGAAGAAGTCTAAAATATGATTAATTATCTATACTCCTCTTTTAATACAGCATCCACTAACAATCTAAGTAGATTCCTTCTTTTATTTCAATGTTTTAATTTCTTTAATTGGTTCCCTTAAGATTAGTGCTTATTTATTTTATATATCATTTATCGACTTGGATGTTGAGACGACTCTTGCAATTACTTTATAGCTTATGCTTGCAAAAACAATGTCTTTAAAATAAAATGTTCCAGGAAAGTATGCAGGAATATAAAATTTAAAAGGAAATGTAAATTAACCAACCTTAAGATTATCATCATCAAATGTATGGACAACGACTGTGACTTTATGGAAGTTATATTTTCCTTCATGCATTCTACTCCGACTACCTGATCCTGATGCCCAACGTGTTTTTTCCTTCCCTTATATGGTAAGTTAAACTACTTTTCCACTAAATCCTTCTTTAATTACATGAAGATATATGTTTCCTAAGTAACTTAGATGTAATCCTCTTACCTAATACAACATCGCCAGCAAAATAGAACTATTTTTCTGTTCTTATCATTATTCCACCAAATTCACATCCTTATTTATTACCCATGTGTTTTTTTTCTATATAATTAATTTACGGTAATTACAAGTTTGGAATTTGTTGAAGGAATCCTAAAATTTCTGGTAAATTCTGATTACAAGATGCGAAATAATCAGCTGATATTAGAAGGAACTTTTGAAATGAACAAGCAAAACTAACTAATTTTGACCTTTGTAATATTCTATATAATTATTAAATATTTGAAAATTATTTCACCATGATCTCTTCCTTATCAATACTTCTTCGCATTATTCTGATAATGGTTAGTAAAATGCTTTTTCAACACAAAATCCATCCATAATTTGGTTGCATCTTCAAAGCTTTCCAGTAAAAGCTTCTTAATATCTTGCTAACTCTTATATTATTTGATCAAAGCAGAAGAAATATGATAAACATAAGCCTAAGTATAATTGAATGAAGACCTCTTTCAGAAACTGAGAAGTACTCAATGGAGTTATTCTTAACTCTATATCAACAATTTAAGAACAAAAATCTTAACTTCTTAATTCCAATATTACATCCTATAATGATAACTTGAATAAAATATCACCAAATTATATTGAGGCTTCCCTTTGGTTCTAACATGACTTGGATCCATAACCAATACTTATCAGCCAACTAGATTGCTTCATTTTAACTACATTTCTATGCAAATTATCAGCTATGATTAGAAATATTTTGATCAATAACCATGACTTCCTTCGTCAAATGTAATGATGAAATTTAAGTTAAAATTTAGTGAATTATACCCTTTACACTACATTCCATAAACAACATTTGAATCATTGCATAGACCCTTGTCTACAATGTCTAAGGACTCATTAAATTTTTCCAAATAATCTTAAACTACGAAGTTAGATTATTTTAGATTTGCAAACCTTTACAGAACAATATATCGGGATGATTAGGGAATATTTATAGAATTTTGTCATCAGAAATAATGGTCTTTCCAACAACACCAAGTTTGAATAAAGATAAAGACCGTAATGGATATAATTTTTCCATACTAATATCTAAAGAATATTAATATTCTTGGATTCATTTGATCCTTAAAATTCAATCAACAGAAATAAACTTGTTTAAAAATGTTTCCTCTGATATAATTAATGAGCTAATTAATGAATAACATTCTCATGCTTTTTCACTTTAATACGTCTAAATAATGCAGATATCCAACTAACAATTATTCTGAAAATTTTAATGTTTCAGAACATTATGCTATATAGGATATGAATGAACTCAAACAATTATTTCCCTTGAGATATTTGCATACTAAAGAAAAAGCGAACCTTTACTATTCAAAGTGTCCACTGGATTAAGGGTAGATAATCAAACTTTATTATATCTCCATTAGCCAAGTATGTTCACAATTTATTCATTTTATGTAATTGATAGGTATAAAGGTAAAAATTTCACTATGATATACCTTTAAACTAAAATGAATGAACAGAATTTTGATTTTAAGACAATATTGTATGTTCCTTAATATTTAACAAATAATCATTTTTTCAAAATCTTTTCCTCTTTATCAATCGGCTAAAATATTCAATTCATAATTTTTTCTTAATAAAATTTGGCATTCTACTTATGTTAAAATCTATAATTATACCCTCAAATTTACTTTTAAAAACCTACAATTTTTCACTCCTTATTGACCTGATTACAACTACTAATAGTAGGAATGGAGTAGACCAGTCCATCATGATCAATCTGACAATAACAAGTCTGCCATCAATTTCTTTCTTGAATCTTGAATTTTTTCAAACCAAAACAATACTTATATTAATTACTTACTTTCTTACTTATACGAAAATTACTTATTGTATAAGATTGTAATGCATAAATTATACTTAATATAATTTTNATAAACATAAGCCTAAGTATAATTGAATGAAGACCTCTTTCAGAAACTGAGAAGTACTCAATGGAGTTATTCTTAACTCTATATCAACAATTTAAGAACAAAAATCTTAACTTCTTAATTCCAATATTACATCCTATAATGATAACTTGAATAAAATATCACCAAATTATATTGAGGCTTCCCTTTGGTTCTAACATGACTTGGATCCATAACCAATACTTATCAGCCAACTAGATTGCTTCATTTTAACTACATTTCTATGCAAATTATCAGCTATGATTAGAAATATTTTGATCAATAACCATGACTTCCTTCGTCAAATGTAATGATGAAATTTAAGTTAAAATTTAGTGAATTATACCCTTTACACTACATTCCATAAACAACATTTGAATCATTGCATAGACCCTTGTCTACAATGTCTAAGGACTCATTAAATTTTTCCAAATAATCTTAAACTACGAAGTTAGATTATTTTAGATTTGCAAACCTTTACAGAACAATATATCGGGATGATTAGGGAATATTTATAGAATTTTGTCATCAGAAATAATGGTCTTTCCAACAACACCAAGTTTGAATAAAGATAAAGACCGTAATGGATATAATTTTTCCATACTAATATCTAAAGAATATTAATATTCTTGGATTCATTTGATCCTTAAAATTCAATCAACAGAAATAAACTTGTTTAAAAATGTTTCCTCTGATATAATTAATGAGCTAATTAATGAATAACATTCTCATGCTTTTTCACTTTAATACGTCTAAATAATGCAGATATCCAACTAACAATTATTCTGAAAATTTTAATGTTTCAGAACATTATGCTATATAGGATATGAATGAACTCAAACAATTATTTCCCTTGAGATATTTGCATACTAAAGAAAAAGCGAACCTTTACTATTCAAAGTGTCCACTGGATTAAGGGTAGATAATCAAACTTTATTATATCTCCATTAGCCAAGTATGTTCACAATTTATTCATTTTATGTAATTGATAGGTATAAAGGTAAAAATTTCACTATGATATACCTTTAAACTAAAATGAATGAACAGAATTTTGATTTTAAGACAATATTGTATGTTCCTTAATATTTAACAAATAATCATTTTTTCAAAATCTTTTCCTCTTTATCAATCGGCTAAAATATTCAATTCATAATTTTTTCTTAATAAAATTTGGCATTCTACTTATGTTAAAATCTATAATTATACCCTCAAATTTACTTTTAAAAACCTACAATTTTTCACTCCTTATTGACCTGATTACAACTACTAATAGTAGGAATGGAGTAGACCAGTCCATCATGATCAATCTGACAATAACAAGTCTGCCATCAATTTCTTTCTTGAATCTTGAATTTTTTCAAACCAAAACAATACTTATATTAATTACTTACTTTCTTACTTATACGAAAATTACTTATTGTATAAGATTGTAATGCATAAATTATACTTAATATAATTTTTAGAAGCAATGAAAGCAATTTTTATATTGGAAAGGGCAAATTCTGGAATGGTGTTTTGTNAATTACAAGTTTGGAATTTGTTGAAGGAATCCTAAAATTTCTGGTAAATTCTGATTACAAGATGCGAAATAATCAGCTGATATTAGAAGGAACTTTTGAAATGAACAAGCAAAACTAACTAATTTTGACCTTTGTAATATTCTATATAATTATTAAATATTTGAAAATTATTTCACCATGATCTCTTCCTTATCAATACTTCTTCGCATTATTCTGATAATGGTTAGTAAAATGCTTTTTCAACACAAAATCCATCCATAATTTGGTTGCATCTTCAAAGCTTTCCAGTAAAAGCTTCTTAATATCTTGCTAACTCTTATATTATTTGATCAAAGCAGAAGAAATATGATAAACATAAGCCTAAGTATAATTGAATGAAGACCTCTTTCAGAAACTGAGAAGTACTCAATGGAGTTATTCTTAACTCTATATCAACAATTTAAGAACAAAAATCTTAACTTCTTAATTCCAATATTACATCCTATAATGATAACTTGAATAAAATATCACCAAATTATATTGAGGCTTCCCTTTGGTTCTAACATGACTTGGATCCATAACCAATACTTATCAGCCAACTAGATTGCTTCATTTTAACTACATTTCTATGCAAATTATCAGCTATGATTAGAAATATTTTGATCAATAACCATGACTTCCTTCGTCAAATGTAATGATGAAATTTAAGTTAAAATTTAGTGAATTATACCCTTTACACTACATTCCATAAACAACATTTGAATCATTGCATAGACCCTTGTCTACAATGTCTAAGGACTCATTAAATTTTTCCAAATAATCTTAAACTACGAAGTTAGATTATTTTAGATTTGCAAACCTTTACAGAACAATATATCGGGATGATTAGGGAATATTTATAGAATTTTGTCATCAGAAATAATGGTCTTTCCAACAACACCAAGTTTGAATAAAGATAAAGACCGTAATGGATATAATTTTTCCATACTAATATCTAAAGAATATTAATATTCTTGGATTCATTTGATCCTTAAAATTCAATCAACAGAAATAAACTTGTTTAAAAATGTTTCCTCTGATATAATTAATGAGCTAATTAATGAATAACATTCTCATGCTTTTTCACTTTAATACGTCTAAATAATGCAGATATCCAACTAACAATTATTCTGAAAATTTTAATGTTTCAGAACATTATGCTATATAGGATATGAATGAACTCAAACAATTATTTCCCTTGAGATATTTGCATACTAAAGAAAAAGCGAACCTTTACTATTCAAAGTGTCCACTGGATTAAGGGTAGATAATCAAACTTTATTATATCTCCATTAGCCAAGTATGTTCACAATTTATTCATTTTATGTAATTGATAGGTATAAAGGTAAAAATTTCACTATGATATACCTTTAAACTAAAATGAATGAACAGAATTTTGATTTTAAGACAATATTGTATGTTCCTTAATATTTAACAAATAATCATTTTTTCAAAATCTTTTCCTCTTTATCAATCGGCTAAAATATTCAATTCATAATTTTTTCTTAATAAAATTTGGCATTCTACTTATGTTAAAATCTATAATTATACCCTCAAATTTACTTTTAAAAACCTACAATTTTTCACTCCTTATTGACCTGATTACAACTACTAATAGTAGGAATGGAGTAGACCAGTCCATCATGATCAATCTGACAATAACAAGTCTGCCATCAATTTCTTTCTTGAATCTTGAATTTTTTCAAACCAAAACAATACTTATATTAATTACTTACTTTCTTACTTATACGAAAATTACTTATTGTATAAGATTGTAATGCATAAATTATACTTAATATAATTTTTAGAAGCAATGAAAGCAATTTTTATATTGGAAAGGGCAAATTCTGGAATGGTGTTTTGTAATATCTATTAAAGAACTGTGTCAAACGTTGTAGATATTATTATTATTACTTATCTCATAAATAATAAACTCAAGAAAAGCCCTAACCTGTATAACTTTCTCTAATCAAAATAATTTATAAATTACTTACTTACTTAATTATTTACTAGTTTAAAAAATTAATTATCTCTAAAAAAAATACTAACCTGTCAATAATAAATAATAAGGTCTTTGATAAATTTTTCTTAATTTACAAAATTGTAAAATTTCTCATCTCTAAAAACGATTTATTACACCAATCTCTATTATTTAAGTTCTAATCTAATGATTTAATATTAAAAAATGGAGAAAATTCTTATACTTTTGATATTTTTCAATCTGGGCTTTTCATATATTTAATATGACACTGGAATAATCAATAGCTTTGATAAGACTTAGGATCCAAATTTCATATGCTAAAATGGCTACTCTAAAACATTAACCACCTGCTTTCTCTAATCAATTTTTGAAAATTCCATAAGTGTTTTTTACTCATGAATTTTTTGACTTAGAGTAGGCAGAAATGGGGTTTTATTTAGAAATTACAACTATAACTTAAACATGTATTTAATAAGTCAATTATATAGCATTTACTTTACTAATTAGGTGTAATAAAAGAAGTGCAAATTCACTCAGATTAAGGTGGTTTGCTTTTGATGATAAACGTATGGAGGTTATAAGCAACTTTAATCAGGAGAATCCAGATGATAAGACCTTTTCAATTAAAAATCCAAATGCTTAAACTGGATTTGTAGCTCTAACAAGTGTACATTATACAGGATTAGTGGATTTTCTATTATCAGTAATTGTTATTAACACCTTTATAGATAAGCAAAATAAAAACTAATTCAGTAACTGTGAGTATAACTAAAGTACCAGGAAAGTTTACAAATCTTAAATAGGTTGGCTATTTTGTAGTTGTTGGAATTGAAGAGGCATTTATTAATTTAGGATTAAAGAAAGTAACTGGAGCATTCAGTAGTGGAAACATTCCAATTTAACCAAATAGATGGTTTGCTATAGCAGTGCAAAGCCTGGTTTATCCAAATGTTAATAATATAAGATTATTAGCAACATATAGTAACACAGAAACAACGATATCATATAATTGGGGAACCTGTAAATATTCATGATTTATAAATATAATAGGGACTTATGCTGAGACTCCGAATAGCCATTCTTAAATTTGGATAGCATATTAATTTACAAAGATATTCAAACCTTTAGAATGTTTTAGTATAAGAATAAGCAGAAAATAGATATTTGATTTAACAGTTCCCATATTTTATTTAGAAATTCTTCAATCTAATAAAATTTATTAAACAAATGGGAACTATGAATATTATGTTGATAAATCAAATACCCCATTTAAGTTGGGTATTTAGATTAAATGTGAAAACGGAAAAAAATCTAGGCAAATTTTAATAAATGTAACTCTTGTAGTACTTAAAAGACTCATTCATTTTCTTATAATTGCTTCAATTAAATGAATTATGTTGGTTTCTTCCCTATTTTTAAATAAGCATTTCCACAATATAATCATTTAAAAATAAAAATGCAATCATCATCACTTGAAATTATAAACGTTGTTTACGATCAAACCATTACAGAAACGACTATAGTGATAATTTAGATATTGAATTAATGATAACATGGTAGTCTAATTACAATTGCATAATTTAATTTAAAATTATTAAAAGAATTATCTAAAAATATTTTTCTTATTATCATTTTAATTAATCAGTTTTAGTAATTGTATCTATCTCATCAATATTTACTTATTTTATGTTTAAAATAATATGGAAATTAATTCTTATATTCTTAAGCTCTGTTAACTTAAATGATTAATTCCTTCTTTATTTTTAGAAGATCATCATTGAATTATTGTAAATGAGTGGTTTATAGAATATTTATAAGAAAATTTCAATTATTTTGCTTGTTCTTTTACTCAAAATAACCAATTATTCTTTGTAAGCTCGTAATGTTGTAGTTTGACCAAACAGTAGGAAAAAGTTTCATTAAGCCTATCCAATTTTTTCCAATCATGGCGATAAATCTACTTTGTGTTATTATTTGTACGAATGGAATTTAGTTATTTTGCTAAAAATGAATTTTTAGTTGCTATAGACAAACCGGAGTTGAAGATCCAATTAATGATGATATCAGAAGGCTTTATACTAGGTTGAAATCTCTAGCTATGCCATAACTAAAGGTCTTGGTTGCTAATATTTTTAATCCTATTTTAAAGATTTTTGTTTTTCAAAATTAACTTAAAACTTAAGTCAATATAATAATTTAATTTATAAGCATTTATTTCATATAACTGATTAAACATGAAATTGCGTTAATTTTTAGTTTTTTTAAGTATTTACATAACCATTTAAGTCCAAATGCCTAAATTACATCTTTGTTTTATGATTTATCAAATTTACATTTTAGTTTTGTTTTTTAAACTATTATAAAGTACACGTTAAATTTTATAAATTATTATTATTATGATTATTTCAATAAATTAACTATTCATAGGGTTAGCTAAATTTTTGAAATTGCTATTTTGATTATTGAAAGGATTGGTGTTATTCAATTTTATAATCAAAGGCTAAAATGCTTATGGTTGCCAATTTTCAGGCTACAGAATTGGTTCTAAGTTATCATTTTGAAGAGTTGCTAATAGGGTTATTGGTACAAATAAACTGAACTCAAACTACAACACATGCAACATTTCAATAATTAAAATTTCAACCTTCAAAATTTAGGATTATTTTAACATCTTATGATGAATACACTAAATTTCATGTTGTTGAAGGTGTGAGAAGAAATCCTGGCGTTTTAGTATTAACCACTTCTAAAGAACACACAATTTAACCATTCAAAGGATAATCTTGGACAAATTAAGCACCTGAATTAGATTTGAAAGTTAGTCTATTCACTATATTAACATCGATATTTTGTATCTTCAAATTACAATCTAAATTATCAATATCATATGCTATTGAAACAAATAATTTATAAATTGTTCNATTTAGATATTGAATTAATGATAACATGGTAGTCTAATTACAATTGCATAATTTAATTTAAAATTATTAAAAGAATTATCTAAAAATATTTTTCTTATTATCATTTTAATTAATCAGTTTTAGTAATTGTATCTATCTCATCAATATTTACTTATTTTATGTTTAAAATAATATGGAAATTAATTCTTATATTCTTAAGCTCTGTTAACTTAAATGATTAATTCCTTCTTTATTTTTAGAAGATCATCATTGAATTATTGTAAATGAGTGGTTTATAGAATATTTATAAGAAAATTTCAATTATTTTGCTTGTTCTTTTACTCAAAATAACCAATTATTCTTTGTAAGCTCGTAATGTTGTAGTTTGACCAAACAGTAGGAAAAAGTTTCATTAAGCCTATCCAATTTTTTCCAATCATGGCGATAAATCTACTTTGTGTTATTATTTGTACGAATGGAATTTAGTTATTTTGCTAAAAATGAATTTTTAGTTGCTATAGACAAACCGGAGTTGAAGATCCAATTAATGATGATATCAGAAGGCTTTATACTAGGTTGAAATCTCTAGCTATGCCATAACTAAAGGTCTTGGTTGCTAATATTTTTAATCCTATTTTAAAGATTTTTGTTTTTCAAAATTAACTTAAAACTTAAGTCAATATAATAATTTAATTTATAAGCATTTATTTCATATAACTGATTAAACATGAAATTGCGTTAATTTTTAGTTTTTTTAAGTATTTACATAACCATTTAAGTCCAAATGCCTAAATTACATCTTTGTTTTATGATTTATCAAATTTACATTTTAGTTTTGTTTTTTAAACTATTATAAAGTACACGTTAAATTTTATAAATTATTATTATTATGATTATTTCAATAAATTAACTATTCATAGGGTTAGCTAAATTTTTGAAATTGCTATTTTGATTATTGAAAGGATTGGTGTTATTCAATTTTATAATCAAAGGCTAAAATGCTTATGGTTGCCAATTTTCAGGCTACAGAATTGGTTCTAAGTTATCATTTTGAAGAGTTGCTAATAGGGTTATTGGTACAAATAAACTGAACTCAAACTACAACACATGCAACATTTCAATAATTAAAATTTCAACCTTCAAAATTTAGGATTATTTTAACATCTTATGATGAATACACTAAATTTCATGTTGTTGAAGGTGTGAGAAGAAATCCTGGCGTTTTAGTATTAACCACTTCTAAAGAACACACAATTTAACCATTCAAAGGATAATCTTGGACAAATTAAGCACCTGAATTAGATTTGAAAGTTAGTCTATTCACTATATTAACATCGATATTTTGTATCTTCAAATTACAATCTAAATTATCAATATCATATGCTATTGAAACAAATAATTTATAAATTGTTCTCTACTTAGCAGATTTTGTTGAAGACAAAATATAATGTCACTTTTACTCCTTGTAATATACAGCACCATGTCGTTTGAGCAGCATTCTCTTATTTTGAAGAAACTTATAAAATTTCTTTAATTGGTTCTCAAATGATAATTTCTTATTTATGCTTAAAATTATTAATTGATTTAGAAGCTGATATTATTCGCAGAGAATTCGAAATTGCACTCTTATAAAAAGAACGCAATGCATTACAAAAAGGAAAATAAAAAAGGATAAATAACATCAATAGCTGAAGAAAATAATTACATTAAAAATTTAATAAAAGGAGGGAAATCAAACTTAGACAAGTATTGTTATTTTAGAATAATGGCTATAAAGATTAAGAGATTATTTCTGAATCTACTTGAAAATTTATTGGCAATTCCGTTTTAAAGAAATATCGGCTAACATTTTCAAATCATTAAATATGATTATGGAGAAAAAATGTATGTAGGAAGAATTTTATTAATACTTTGATGGAAAGGCTGATTGGTTTACTAAAAAATAGGATTCATTCCTTTTAATTTTTATTCCAATATCATAAAAATAGCAAATAATGTATTCATGTATAAAGTGATAATATAGAACTGAAAACTAAAATTGATTTAAAGTTAATTTACATTGATCTTTCTGTAAATTTCATTTTGATTTATCTAATACATTAATAAGTAAATAACCAAATTTAGAAGTTAAATAAATAAAATATTATACTTCCTCTTTCACATCTTTTAGAGCTTTAGATCATTGATAGATAAATCAAATTTGCTCTTTAAATCAATTTGAGCTCATTGATATATTTCCAACAATTATTAATTTGTTTTATAATTGGTCGATAAATTTTGAAGAATTCTTAAAGAGTTGTTTTATTTCTTAAATATCCTCGATCTTAACTTCAAGTTGAGATGGTAAAGCTCTTAAGAATTACCTTATTAAATATTATTTTTATCACCATTTCATCAACTCTCTTTACTTACTCTTTCCAGATATCAAACCTTTTGTTGAGTTTTTTATTATAAAATCAATATCAATAAAAGGCATATTGTGATTATTGTTTTCAATATATTTTATTAATCCTTCGAATTTCACTGATATCAATTATACTTTTTAACAAATATTTATTTAATTGAATTCAAGTCAGAGATAAGAGAAGAACAGCTATAATATCCAATCATCCAAATCTATTGTTTCACATACCTCTAACTGCTCAATTTCTTAACTAAGCGTGATTTTCTAAATATGCAAAACAATTACGAAGGATTGGAATAAAATTCTAGATTAAATTATACTTTGATATTCCATAAAATTGTCCATTATTACAAACTAAATTGTTTTTAAAACAATAATTTATGCATAGCGAAGAGAATTGAGATAAATATTAGGAAGAGTCTTATATTATAATTAAAAACATTAGCATTCATTTATCTTTCTTACGATATGCTTTCAGTTATTTTAGAAGTCTTTAAAGCCATATAATCTACATGATTATTCACATGTATGGAATAACATATAGTAAAATATTTATAATTTATAATATAAATTTTATAATCCAAACCCATAAATTATTTTCTAGAAATCTTAAATCTTATAAACCATAATTTGTTTGTATAATTGGATCATAAATGTGATCCAAAAAGACCTATAAAGGAAAAAAATTGATACCGAACAATATCAAAACCCAAAAAAGGCCCCAAAAAAAATACCAAAAACAAAAAGGGCTGAAAAAAAATAAAAAACAAATAAAACCCCCAAAAAAATTTTTTCTTTATACTTCCTATTATTTCAGTTCAAGATTAACCAATTTAAGCAATTTTTGTAATAGATTTTACTATTCTTTAGAGTTTTAAAAAATACCCAGTTTAATATTTTATAATTAACTGTTACATCCCTTTTAAATTTAAAATTACAAGTAAAAGTTAAACAAAACAATTAGAATCTGCCTATTTTAGTAATGCAATTATAAAATATTCTAAATATATAAGAAATATTTCTTTCCATTAAATCTAGGATTACTAATATGATTTAGGGAAAGGGAACTTGCATTGTTAGATATATTTAAAATAAGCTGTTTGGAGAGATATTGTGCCTCGATTTCTGGATTTGAGTTTGAATAATCAAATTTCCATGATAATCATAAGGATAAACAATAATTGAATATTTTTTAAGAGTCTAATGAACAATATAAAAAAAATTATGAAAAAACTCTAAAAAGGAAAATTTTGTATATATAATGATTATGTTTAGGTGAATCTTTTCGAAGAAGAGGCATCTTGTTTGATAAATATAAATGATTTCAGTTTTTTTAATGAAAGTGGTTCTGAGTAATCTAAACTAGTAAATATTGTTACTATAAGAATAAATCCATAAGGAAAATTGAACCTTAAGTAATTATATGTATGTCTATAATTCATACCTTCCTTATTCTTCAAAGTCTTCAAAGTTAATTCATGTCTGTGTTTATCTCCAAAAATGTTTTTTCATAATCGGTATAGAAATTTTTAAATTAAAGTTTTTAATTATTGAATCTAGTACTCTCTTATTGATTTGCTCAATATTAAAATTATTATCAATAAATTTATGAGACAGTAATTATTCACAAATCCACAGCCATAAAAATAATATATAATTCCATAGCAATTACATACTTTTTACTAAACACCATATTAATCCAATACGTATAGATCCCCATAACCTGCATTTGTAATTTATAGAAAACCACAACCTCAATAATACTAATATTAATATTAATCATATTTTCAAGTGAAATAGCCTTAATCAATCTAAACTATCCAATCTTAACAAATTTACTAACCTAGTCCAGTTAGATAATAACGAAATTCTATTCATTAATAGCAAATCCAAACTGGTAATTCTATCAACCCTTAAAATCCTAATAATTAAAGGTAAATCTATCCAAGTAATTCGCAATTATAGTAAGCATTGCCATAACTTGGTCCTAGATATTCAGTACGAAAGCCTCAAACTTATATAATTCCTAATCAAACTGCTCAATAAATTTTTCCGTAACAAAGCTATCAATAACAAGAACAACAACAGAAACCATAATAACCACTCTAAATTAAGTCTGTTTCTCCAGTTATTACTTAATAAGAAGATGAGTTAGAGAAGAGATTCTAAGATGCCATTGATAGAACAAAAGATTTGGTTCATAAATATAACCCTGCAGAATAAAATACTTAACAATAATAGTAACAATTAGTAGAATTAGCATTACAATATGAAGATGGATTTATTTACAGAGGATAAGGATATGAACCTGCCATCAGAGAAGGTTTTGGAGTACTCACTGATCAATATGAGAATGAAGTGTATAGTGGATATTGGAAAGATAATTAATACCATGGCCAAGGGAAACTTATTAATTTTTAAGTAGAACAAATATAAGGACCTTATGATTTTAGAGATCTTGGAAATATAGAAAATGGATGGCTGAGTTATGAAGGTACTATTTTTTTAATTAATTTAGGTGAATTTTATGAAGGTAAAATGCACGGAAAAGGAGTGCTACTTTTAACAAATGGAGAATAGTTTGAAGGGGAATTTAATGATGGCATGATAAATGGTTAAGGAATCTATTCCACTAGCAACATGAATGATATTAGAGGGATTTGGAACGATGGAATATTAGTTGAATGATTCTTAATGTTTATTTATAAATCAATTTGAAGATATTTTAGAACATCCTCATCTCTACGTTACCAAATAACATTATTTGATAATAATTATAATTGGTAACAAGTAGCAAGCCAGTTCAATAAATTGGAGATTTAACTGAATTTTCCATCTTGATAGTTTTCTGAAAATACATTGAATAATTGATTATTTGAAACCTTTTAAAAATTATAGCTATCACTGTTTAAGAATTTTGTCCTTATTTCTTTAAAATTTATAAATTTTTAAAACTATCATAATTAATTATAAAATCAATTTAAGAATTCAAAGATCAATATAATTATTCTCAAAATATATATCTGATTTTTAGATATCATTATCAATAGCTATTGGTTCATCAATTGTAAAAAGCTAAAAGTCCTCATCATTTAAGAGATGAAATTCATCCTTTAATTTTAAGAATATGCTTTTTGAATTATCCTTATTGATGGTCTCTTGCCGAACCATAGAACTTTGGTTGTTATTCTATTCATTTTGATTAACATTTGAAATGTCATGTATTTAAATATGATCATTGGATTAATTTCTTGATATCTCCTATAAATTTAATTACTCTTAAATTATTTCTGGTGATTGAAAACTGCTTACTTTGGAAAATTATTTGAGTTTGATTCCAACTTTATGAGCTAATTTGATTTTATCAGAAGGATATGTTGATTATAGTAAAAATTATAATTTAGCCAAGGTGTACAAAATATTTGTGATGCTAAGCTTTTTTGCAGCAATTCGTTAAATTTTATTATAAAATAAAATGTATTCATCTTTATCAATAATAATATTATTGTATTTAACTTCAACAACTTTGCCATACCAATTTTGAGTTTATTAGATATTACAAAATTCAGGATAATACATTTGAATAACCTTTGAGATGGATTCCTTCTCTAATTAATGCTCATTCAAAAAGATGAACAAATATGACAAAACTAAAATGATCGAAACGATAGATCCTATGTCAGCCAGAACTTCAGATATCTTAGGATATTCAATATACTATTCTTATATTACTTCACTTAAACTATAGGCCATAACTAAGTAGGTTGCCCTTCCAAACACATTGTAAAAGCTATCAGTGCTAGTTGTTTAAGATATTATAATAACATCCATAGGAAACTCTTTGTTAGAATTAGAAGGAAATAAAAATCCATCGTCGACTTACGTTTTAGACAATCTAATTTAATTTTAGAAATACAATGATGAATTACTAGTAAGAATTCCTAAGAATTGTTTTGTTACATTTTAAATACTTTTTTACTTTGAGTTATATTCTTTCACATAATGATTTAATATTATGGCATGACTTTTTTAATTCATATAAGTGCTAACCATAGATTAATTTGCACATTTCTATCCATTCAATAAATATTTTTCCATACATGTTCCAAAGGATAATAAATACTCAATTTATGGATCTTCATTCGAATAGTTCATGTTTAAGTTTAGTTCTATGTTTTTCAAAATAACTTCATAAATATCATTGCCATCTGATTACAATCTATATTCACAAGGATATGAGTCTACAAGTTGTTAATTCTCAAATTTAGAAAGAACAGGCTGCAATATGATGTTTCCTGGATCAAATGGGTCGATTTAGTCAACTTTGTTATTTTTTCTAATGTAAAAAGTGGACAACATTTCATCAATGTTATAGTATTTTTTCTCATAGGAAGTTTAGATATAAGTAATTTTTGGTAATAATTGGTTTGATTGCCATTAGATAATTTGATACAAAAAGTAAGCTAGGCTTGATCCATATAAAATAAAAGTAGCAATCCCTCCTAGAACTGATTTATATTCAGGGTGGATGTCTATAATTGGTGGTCTATATATAGCTCCAAATCTGTCAATTTTTTACAACCCTTTGACAAATTGATCAATCATTAATAGTTAATGCAATTATAATGAAATCAAAAAATATATATAAATGTTTGAATAAAGATAATTATATTAGAATTATTAATAAGGTTATTGTTCATATTCATTTAAGTGCAATTATTATTCTTAAGTGTAATAAGGCCAATAAAAGTTGGGAATCTGATTTAGTAAAATTAAGAATCTATAATAATTAATACAGATAGATTGACAATACAGTTGTTACAGATTCTGCTAACATATTCAAAATTTTTTTAATAAATATCTATTTCAATTATTCTTAACAATCATTAAACTTAGTTAAATGATACATCTGATTTGTGAGAAGCTTGTGATCTAGAAACAAAAGAACGAACTATTTTCAGTTTCAAAATAACTAATACAATTCTATAATCCCTCTGTTGTTCACCTTTACTGAAAAAGAAAAGGTTTGATCCTAATTTCTCTCAAAATTATAAACCATTTTTTCGCTTTAATCTTAATTCGTTTATAGTTTAAGATTAATAGGTATTCTAAAGTATGCTGGATACTGTGTTTGATCACATTCTTGGAAGTTTTAGAGTGTATTGTGTGTCTAATATAATTAATAATATTAAATCAGTAGAAGTTTAAAATATGAATTAAATTAAGATTGATGAGGAGAGTTCATTAACATTTGATCCGTTTCGCATACCAGCCGGCATTGATTTGGCCAAAATTCATTAGGTAAGCTCAATTAATAATTAGAAAGCATCCATGTGTGGAGAGAATGAGGAAAAATCAGATCATTGCCCGTGCTGTGGATAACATGTATAATAGAAGGAAATATCATTATGTTAAAATAGATTGGATTTGGCATTTTTGGGTTAAGGAATCCCTTTATTTTTTGAAATGACCCAGTAATTGACATTATTGGCGTGTGTTTTATTTACAATTCTTGGGATACCATCTCTAATTACTAATATGTAAAATCATGACTGTATTGCGGAAGACAATGAGTTTTATCAAGTTTCATTAAATGGACTTTGTAATGAAAATTGTCCATAAAATTCAACTGATTTTTTATCGATCACAAAATTGACTCACTCAAATGATTGCGAGACCATTTGTGCTAAAATTATAGATATTTGTCTTGAAACATCAGTTATATAGATGTCATTTGCAAACAAACAGTTCGATGAGACATCTAAATTTGTATAATCTATATTAGTTTTGTGCAGTATTTTAGTTTTTAAGATTGCAATGATTAGAATCAGGATATCTCAAAGAAACACTGCAAGAATTTGTGATTAAGAATTTGTTTCTCCTTCTGATTTCACAGCTATGTTGACGAACTTACCAAGAAATGAATACAATGAAGCGGAATTAAAGGACGCATTGCTAGATTTTTGTTATTAGTTTGATGACAAAGGGCGATACGAAATCATTAAAATAATAATAGCATATGATATTACTTCATTTGTTTAATGCAGTAGGGAAAAGATGTGTTTGGAAAAAAAAATAGAAAAAATAGAAAATCATTATAAATCCTATCATCGATATCCACGTTCTTTGAAAAACAATTATCTAAGTAGTTTGAAGCAAAGGATAATTTTCCTTGGTGAAAAATTATCACGAATTGAGAGTGAAGTTGAAAAATAATAATATGCACATTAAACTTAAGTTGCATTTGTGACTTTCTAAACCAAAGAATGTAAATTCATATTCTATTTTAGAATTGCAATCAGTTTTGGATTAAACTAAACTATCGTACTGGGAAGGAGTGTGGATTCGATTCAAATATTACTTCATCAATCAACAAGATCGCAGAGGCTTCTATTTTAAAAATAGAATTATCATATTTTGCAGAGCTCCTGAACCAAACGATGTCTTTTGGGAAAATTGTGGGTTCAATTTCCAGTATCAATTACAAAAAAGAATATTAAATTTCTTTATCACGATATTCATTTTAGCAACTTCCTTCACCATTCTATTAGGCTTAAATATCTTATAAAGCCAAAATCTCTCATCAATTGATGATGCTATAATGATATTTGTAACTCTGGTTATTTCATTAATAATCACAATTATAAATTAGATCATTTATCACGTTATTAAATTGCTAGGATAATCGGAAAAGCATTTCACAAAAACTCACCACGATGTTTCAGTTGCAACTAAATTGGCAATTGTTTAATTTTTTAATTCAGGGATCTTCACCAAAGTTATTAATATTTTGGTCTATAATTTTCAAAACGAAAAACCTGACGCTCATGCAGCAACTTATGCTTACTCCAGATAAGGAGGAGTAATTTCAGATGCATTCTTTTTATTAATTGTGAATTCTTTCCTAGTTCCTATTTTTGCATATTTGGATCCACTTTACTTCTATAAGTTATATCAGTAATACTTCTTCAAAGTCGATAATACCTTCAATTAGATAGAAGCTAATAGAATATTTGAAGGACCTTCTGTACTTTTGTATGAACATTATTCTTATGTTTGCTTATCTCTTTGGATCTCCTTACTCTTTGCTCCTTTATTACCGATATCCTTACTATTTTGCAGTTCTGGATTGCTTTTGTACTATTGGATATAGAAGTATCTATTGCTAAGAAGAAATTGCAAACCTCCTTTTTAAAGTTTTCATCTAAATCGAGAAATGATGAACTTATTTGAATTAAGTCCTATTATTTTGGCAGTTGGTTAAATATGGACAGATTACATTTTTAGTTCAAGTTCAATTATATTGACAATTAATTTTATCAGTTTGGGGTTCTCCTGTCTAGAATTAATCACTCCAGCTACTAGAATCAGTAAATTATTTGATAGAAAGGATAATCTATATACTGAGAAGGATAGATACCAGGATGTCTATTTAAAACTGCCAACAGATTATGATAGAACCAATCCATTGACTTAATAAACTGCAATCTTGGAATTCATTAAAGCAAAAACTTTAATAGATAGTAATTACAAATAGCCTTAAGTTATGGACACAAAAACAGCATTATATAAATATATTCAAACGGGAGGAGTTCAGTTTATGAAAAATACAGTTGCATTAAAGCTTAAAATTTCCATGATGAGAAAAATCAAACTAATAAGAAAAGCTCGCCAGTTAGGTGCTATGGCTTTACAGTAATGTGATGAGGAGATTTCTTAAGATTAACAAGAACCTATCTATACGTAAGCACCAGAATACATAATCGTTAATAAAAATATAAATTTTAGGTAGAATTCACTAATTAATTCTACCCATGATGAAAATAATAATAATAAATTTTAAGATGCTCATATATACAATTTCTCTAAAATTCTTAATCCCAATAAATTTGAAAATTGAGAATGTTTTTTCTACTTTTTTGATAACTTGTTTATGTGTATTGGTTATTTTTGAAGAAATTATCATTTATATTGTCATTTAAACATAAGAGATATAAGAGTTTCTTTTCGCTCTCTATTCCAACATCGATGATTATGTTTGAATTTTTTCATTAATCTATGCGGTTCGATTGTCAAACAATTGATTTAGATATTCGTATGTAGCAAAGCAATTTTCATTTGATGGACTTAAAAGAGAGTCAAAGTTAATATTCCAAAAATCACAATTAATTCATAAATTATTAATGAGTGATATTAAAGAAATAGAAGTGGAAAAGAAATTCATTGAAGAGTATTTTAAATAAATCAGTACTTCTGACATTGAAACCATAAAAAGGTATCTCTTGTATGTAAAACAACGCAAGAGAGGAAATGAGAATGAGAAGGTTCCCATAAGAACATTTATAAATGTGATTTCTGAGGGTAAAGGCAAGAAGGCCATTCATTTCGGTGCATCCAGAGGAGACTTAGATGTGTTCAAGTTTCTAGTCAAGAAAGGAGCAGATGTTAGTTTGTTGGATGATGAAAAGAATAATCCATTCTTGATTGCTGTTCAACATAATCATATATCGATTGTGCAATACTTGATTGATGTACATCATGTGGATGTGAATTACTCTAGAAATACAATCACAGCTCTTCATTTGGCTGCATAATAAGGTGCAATTCCAATGATTGAATTATTGCTCTCAGCAGGAGCCAATATCAATGCCTTGTCCAATTATGGTACTCCAGTTTCATTTGCAGTGGCATACTAGTAAAATTGGAGTGCTCTCCATTTGATAAAGAAGGGAGCAGACTTAAATATCGTTTAAAATTAAATGCCTTCCTTATTACATTTACTTATTGACTAAAACAATCAAGAGTTGTTTAATACGATATTTGAAGAATTCCCAGATAAGATCAACGTGAATATCAAAGACCACGATGGATGGTCAGCTTTACACTTATGCGCAGAAAAAGGACTATTAAAATTTTCATAAACATTGATTAAACATGGTGCGGATATCAATTATGAAAATTAAAAGTAAACTCCTTTGGACTTAGCAGTATAAAATGAGAAATGGGATTGTGTCGAATATTATAGAGAGTTTGCCCTAAGAAAGGAACCCCAGATTCCAACATCTTTGGTTTAGCTAACAGATGATGAAGTTAAGGTTCTGTATAATGAGATTAATGCAGAAAAGGCGGAAGCCAACAAGTTGTTATAAGCAGAACAATACGAATAGGCAGTCATTAAGTATAGTGAAATAATTGAGAAATCCAAATAGATTGTTGATCATTATAGAGATGAAATTGTGAAGATTTACACTAATCTAGCTAATGCTTAATTGAAGTTATTGAAATATAAGGACATTTTAGCAACATGTAAGCAGGCTAGAAATGTTAAGAAAGACTGGGTGAAGATCTACTATTTTGAAGGTTAAGCTTACGAAGGATTGAATGAGTTTGGAGAGGCAGCTGCATCTTACTTTGAAGCATTAAAGATTCAATAAGAACCAGGAATGAAAGCATTATTTGATTAAGCTATCAAGAGAGGCAAGGAATTGTATAAATAAAAATGATCACAAATACATTTCCAATATTTTAGATAAATTTTCTTTATTTATTGGTTTTTCTAAGTAATTAATCATCCCATATGATTGTGCTTAATACTTTGTCTGCATGTCACTGAAAGCCGAACAAGCTACTATGTTAATTTTTGGTTATAAGCATTTGATTTATCTGGTTGTTTCAAATCCATCCATTTATGGCATGTTAATATCCATTAATATTAAATGATATTAGCATTTCTAATTCATTCTTGATTCCACCTATTGAATAGCTTGATATCCATTTTATGCTATATCACTCTCGAAACCAAGCATTTTAATCATAATCTTCAGTGGGAATAAATTTGCTGGTTCATCATCTACTAAGAGTAATTTCACAAATTAACATTCTGGTGAACTCATTGAAGGGAATCTTGCTCGATGTCCAGGTAGATGATTTGGTTTTGGATCCTCTGCGATTGTTCTGTCATCTTCTTCCATTATCATGATATTATCATCCTTGAGAATTGATGGAAAGAATATTTAAGGTTACGGTCTTGTTTGGCATGATTTGCTAGGACTAAATTTTTTAATTTATGATGGACAGCTTTTGGGATTGGAGGCAATGCTGGAAAGAGGATGAGCAAGATTGGATTTCTGATGAAGGAATACTTTCTTATCAATCATTTTTATTGATTTGGATTCAAATTAACTGTTTGGTGATTCTAAGACTTGATATTTCGAAATGTAAAACCAGAACTTTGTGCCATCTCCTAATTTTGATTTAAATTGCAGATATTCTTTGTGAGCATTTTTGAATGAGGATAGATGCTTAATTAAGTAATTTGAATTGAGCAATCCTAAGCCTAATCCAGCTGCTCCTTCTGAAAGTTTTGATGTCAAGATCAAATCATTCCCTAACATTTATTCTATGTTGGAGGCAACACTTTCTGATATTCCTATTCCAGAGTCTAGAACTGAAAATTTTATCCTTTTATCATCTTCCTTTTCTGCAGAGACATAGATTTGCCCATCTTAATTTGTGTATTTGATAGCATTTTAGATAAGGTTTTGAAGTATTTACTTAATTCTTTATTCATCTTATTTAAAGTTGACAGTAACTTTATTCACTAAATATAGGGAAATCTTTTTTTATGCTACGTGTTATTTAAATAAGGTTTAGAGTTCAGTGAAAATGTCATCTATATTCACGTCATCAATTTCTAATTGAAAGGTTTTACTGCGTAACTAATGGAAGTCCTTTAAGTCCTTGACCATATTATTCATCATAACTACACAATTATATATAGAATCGAATTGTTCTTTGATTGATGGGAATTGTGCCAAACCATTTTACGCATTTAGAGCGATTTAATTCAATAGGGTTCCAAATTCGTGACTAAAGGATTAAAACAATTTGTTCATCAAAGCATAACATGAATTTTTCTTGATGTACTTTGAAAACTCTTTGATTTCTTCAAACTTTAAAATGATCACATCTTTCTCGAAATGCAATTTTATCTAATAATATTCTAATAAAATAAAATTAGTTTTAATTATTAATATATCTGTTGTCTTTTGTAAAATTTAACATTTGTTTATTAGCTATCGTAGACTTATTCCCTTGATTTTTTAATTTAGGTTTCTCTGAGTTTGTTTGTCCACTTTAAGTATTTTCATGTGATCCAATAGGTTTTCCTCGGACACCTCATCCTTAATTAGGATGTCTCTGAGTTCATTGGTGCATGATCTTACATCAAGAGTTGTCGAATTTTCAAGTACAATTGCTTTGTGTGATATAAAATTGATATCCTCCAAAAGAACAAGTGATTTGATTGTATTCGGCATGCGAGAAGTAAGCAAAGAGCCTTTGCTCGATTGCTTTTACAGCTTCTACTCTTTTACAGCCCAAGAGAAATAGGTGACAATCAAAACAGTGAATACACTCATCAAATAAGATTGGACTTCATTATTTTATGAATATATACAGATTAGGGTTACATGGACTATGATAATTTCCAATACTACTTGAGCAAGCAAGAATATTAATATGCCATCTTTTTTAGTCATTTTCCATAAAAAGTATGAATCCGACAAGTGACTACAGCACCATGAACTGATCATTTTGTTTGGCAAAAACACTCAAGATATTGATAGCGAATTGAGCATAAATGTTTAAGTTACTATATTTTGTTAAGAGTACTATTTAGAATAGACTAATAACTATGCTGATTAAAAGCAGTATGAGATTCAGAAGGGGAGCTCTAGTGCATTCTAAAGTTGCATAAGTGAGCTGCAGAATGTACATCCCAATAATGGCTTATTTTTTATGTTTAATCATTATATAATTAAATTCAAGTGATTCAACAATTTCAAAAGTTCAAGCTTTGTAACAGGTTTGTTGATATAGTATTTCATTCCCAAAGAATAACACTTAGTTTTTGTTTCTACATCACTGAATGCAGTGCAAGCAACAATGGTATTATCATAGTTATATTTTAGAATCTGTTCTGTGGCCTAGAACCCATCCATGATAGGCATATTAACATCCATAAAGATCACATTAAATTTCTCATTAGCTAAATATTTACAATAACATTTATACATTCTTTTATTTTATTTAAAGCTTCTAATCCATTGAAAGCAGAAGTGCATTTGATATTGAACTGACTAAGTAGGATCTTCAAACTAATAATATTAATCATCTCATCATCAACAATTAAGATGTGAGGTTGCTCTCTAATTGTTTTAACACTTGCTATGTCGATAACAGAAGCTCCAAAAGTAGGTGACTTTTTTTAACCTTCCCTATTCTTATGGATAATTAATTGTCTTATTCTCTAAATAATTTCATTTTCCTATTTCAATTCTTGTTCTACATAATCAATTATTTAATTTGGCGAGAACGAAGCTGACAATAAACTTGATTTTTTAGTCAATGTTAATAGTAGATGATTGTCAACTGGTTTATGTCTATTCGTTAGTTGTAGGTCTATCACGGATTGACGAGAGTCGAAATACCCATTTTCATTAAATAATATCCCGGACTTTGCTGACGATATGTCACAACTTGTATAAAATATGTCGAAAGGCTAATTCTTTACTCGAAAAGAAACTCGGATACCCTTATCTAATCTAACATACTTCAGACCTCCACCTGCTGTTACTGGTAGATTCGATAATTTCAATGCAATTTATTGAGATAGATAACAACCCAAGCCAAACCCAGCAGTGTGTTGGGAAATCTTTTACTCTGACTTAAACTCTGTTTCTAAAGTTTAATTTAGATTATCGAAAGTTTCTTAGTTCATTCCGAATCCACTGTCTTCAACGGAAAATACTGTGAATCCAGATTGTTCAGTCACTGTAATCTTAATTCCCCCTGAGACAGTAAACTTCTGAGCATTTGCAATCAGATTGCTCAAGACTTATTTACATCTTCTGGCATCGAAGAATTTTGCTTTCTCTTCCAGCATAATCTAATAAGTTATGATTAGACCCTTCTCTTCAATTTGCTTTTAATAGTACCCAATTACTTCTTAGAGTAAATCTTCGACGTCGACAAGTCCAAATTACAATTAGAATTTCTTATTTAGAATATCACTGTAATCGACCATGTCTTGCACGAAATGATGCATTATCTATCCTGTTGATTTTATTGGCTGGAAGAACCCCACTTGACTTGGGAATCTATCTATTGCCACCTAAGACAATGCCAACAGATAATTCAACAATGTTCCGAATTCATGAGAGAATGTTTTGAACAGTTAGTAAAGAATTTAACTCAGGTATTTCTTCTTTATATATGTGTCTCTTTCATTGACTTGGATGAATTGAATTTCGAACTAATTTTTGTAATGAACCAATATTAAATATCTCTAAAATTATGAATGGTTGTAATCCAACACCTATACTTAAATCTCTGATCTTTTGGTTATAATCCTCTTCAATAAGGACATCAGGGTATCTTCTTTCCATTTTCCCAATTTCCTTTCAGATACAGAATCAATATTGGTTATTTTAATTTCTTGCAATAATTTATTCGAGTCTTCATAATTCAATTAAGTTAAAATCTCATTCATCTTCTAATTCTAATGAATCACAGCCAGAAAGTCATCTAGAATTATTTCGGGAATGTTTCCATATCGTTAGGTTTACGAAGGTTAAGATTACTAATGCTAGATGACAATTTATTCAGTTTCCATCTTTATTGTTATTTGTTCTGTTTGTTTCTCAACTACTTTACTTTATGTCTATTTGAAGAAAACTTAAATCCAATATCCCACAAAGAAAAATGTCGCCATTGTTGACCGTATGATGTCAATTACTTCAAGTTTCGTACTCAGGACACCTATCAAAATAAAAAAAACTTATTAATATGAAAGTATTACTTGAAAATTCAAGGTAATTAAATATTATACTCTTAGCTTGTATGAATTATCTCATTATGCATTGGTATAGAGCCATGATCGCTAAAAGCTTAGGATCTTTAAATATTGAAAATATTATTGATGCTTAGATAATTAGTAACAATCTGATCAAGTATTGATATTGGTTTCCCAAAGTCAAGGCAATCAAAAGTACATCAATACTTAGAGATATGCTCAAAAAGACGTATTCAATTATCTCTTCGCATTTCCAATATTCCAAAATGCATGATGTAATATTGGTGAAAATTAGCAATATCATAATTATATTAGTATTTTTTATAATCTATGATGTTCACTGGCTTATTAAAGAAAATACAACATCAAATGTCTTAATAATACTATTCAGTATGATTACCCTTATATGTATTGCAAGCATCAATCTGGCTTTGATTTCCATAGCCAGACCCATGTTTATGGTGGCTATATTGACATTAAAAAAAAAATCATTTTCATCTCCAAATATTGTTGAGACTACTATTTCTATCAATTCTAATGTGAACTTTCATCATTTCATTCTATTCTAATTAGACAAGTAAGAAATTTCGTTTTTATTTTGTGCCAAAAAAGAAAATATCTTCGAGCGAATATTCATCTGTGAATTTACTCTATAAATTAGGAAGGTTAAAAAAGATATTGCTATAGCATATAGTGCATATAAATTTTTCACCTACTATGTTTTATGTTAAAATTCTACAGGCTAAGGTAATTCATATGGGATTTGTTTTATTTGAAACTCTGTCTGACTTAAGAGGAACATAATAAATCATAACTTTTATAAGCAAGATATAGATGAAGTTGAATATAAAGTTCTTAATTTAAAATATATTATTATCAATCAATCTTTCATGATATGTTTTTTTTCTTTAATTCATCGATTTGTAATTTTATCCACGGAGGTAAGACTGCCTTCTATTTAACCTTTATTATATCCTAAGCATCAAGCAAAGCAGCCTAAATTCCTCCCTTTAAGAGTACAAGACGTTTGATTCGTTACTTGAGTAAATAATCCATAATTTCTTTTACATTCTGCTTTTCTGTATCGCATATCACAACTATATAATAAATGCTTTGCTCCTCAACCAGTCCTCTCAGTTCGAAGTAGTTTAGTAATTGAATATTATTAATTTTTTTTTTATCATAGTATGCAAACAAGGAACCAGTTATGCAAGCTTATTCATAATCCTTAGCGCTTCTCATATCCAAAGATAAGACATTGAAGGAGGATTTCTGTTCCCTTAACAATTATTGAAAATCATGAATGGAAATGGAAAATGTCAATTGCTCTTGTAATTACTTAAATGTTAATGGATGTTCCCATGGTCTTTCTTATAAGTACTCGTTCTCCTCCTTCATTTAATTGCAAATCTCTTCATCCTGATGTGTGAGAATGAAAAAGGTTTTATGCAATTAAGTTGAGAATTTGAGAGAATTCTACAAGCAATTATCCAATTGTATATTATTCTAAAGATTCTTCAGACAACTGAGCATGCCTTCACTATCTTTAATTTCAAAGGTTGATTTGAGTTCCAACATGATTTAACATGCTAGCAGGATTTCGAATGATTCATCAGAAATTAAGAAGTAATCGTAAATTTTCATTACATTCTCCAAGTTGAATTCTCTGGCATAAAAAGTACTAAACCAAGAGACAATATGAGTTTCACACTTAAAGTCAGTTTCCTTTAGATGACTGCTTAATCCTGGGTCAAAAAACTGGAGAGTCCAATTGTAAAGTAAGATCTTCTCCTGCAACTTTTATCCAAAATATTCACTAATTTCCACCTACTCTTCCTCTGGTGGTAAATTGACAATCCTTTTCTTGTAGATCTCATTCAAACATATTGTACTGAGTTCAGAATCATAATTAAAGGCTTCTAAGAGGATATATGAAACCGAATCCATCCCTTATATATAACAATTTGAAACAGACTAATTGATAAATCCTCGTATTGTACTTCTTATTGCATCTTGAGTTCTTTTATTGTATTTTTATCTGTTCAAGTCTTTTTCAAGTTGGATGATATCCTTCTATTTCTAAGCATTCAAATATTCACACAATTCAAGTGTTAATTATACAATTTATCTTTAGGCTTCCAGGGATTCAAAACCAAGAGCTCTTGGCCAGAATGCCTTTCTTATGTTTTACCAAATTAATCCAGACCCTCCCATAAAATGAATTACCTTAGAGATGAAGGCCTAAAAGGCTTTTTCAGAGGCTTAGGATATCAATTTTAACAACAAAACCTAGGCCATGTATGTTGGCTCTTAAGGGGCAAGTACCTATTCTTACATGTCTTCACTCTTCTATTCTTGTTTTTTAAACCATTTTCTGAATAAAAATTATTGTTTCTTAGGTTAGACCACCTGATTTTCTTCTTATTACTAAGGATTTGCTATTTTAGTAAGAGTTGCAATCAATTCTTCTAGAGTGCAATTATTGGGGCAATTCTAGATGATTTAAGTGATTTAACTGTTAATTTCAGATTTCAATTCGCCAATTGGATAAATACCCTCCTTGAGATCGCTAATGTAAATTATTTCTTCCATTGAAAAAAATTGATCTGCCCAATCCAAGTTGAAAAATTTGTTTTTGACAAATTGGAAGAATACTGCCAAAGACATTTGATTAGATTGTTTAGGCTGGATTTCCACTTACTTGTGTTCATAGAATAAGGGATTTTGAAGTAATTCCTTAATGGAACTCCTCTCATCCTCTTCTCTTAACATCTATTGGATGAGGTCTCTCAGAGACCAACTGTATTTAGAGTTCTTAAGAATCTCCTAATAATTATTGGTGTTATCCTTTTTGAATTCAAAATAGATGCATTGTAATAATATGATTCCTAATGAATAGACAGATGCCTTAGGAGCATTAATCTCTTAACTGAGATGTTTATTGAAATCATCACAATCATTGAGTTCGATGTCCAAATATTTATATAGTTCTGGGGCCAGATATAATTTGTCTTCAGATTCCAGGAATTATCTTTGATTTTGGTGGACCATTTACTCCATGTAGTTGATGATCTTCCATTTCTTGATGATGTTGGAAGGACTCAAATACAATATATTGATGTGTGATAAACCATTAAGTATCGCGTATGCCAATTATACAATTTCATCTTCATTCATTGGGGCATTATTCTGATGCCTTAATTTAATGTAATCCATAAGGGTTTCTGGGTGTGTTTCACTTATAAATGTTATCGTTTCATTTTCTGTAGAAAGGACATAGTATTTGCTTAGATATTGTGAATTCGGTGGGTTTGAAATGATGGCCACTAGATTTTGCATATAATCCTCGAATTGCTGTATGTTATTGGTGTTTTAGCATTGATCGAATTGGTCTTCTTCATAGTAGGAGGAATTGAGTTGTTGGACTTGTCTGACGATCTTATTAGTATAACACTAAATGTATTATTCAGATTGATTTCTTTCACTTGGATTGGAGAACGATTTCAGACTAGGAGTTTTTAGCATTAATGAATAAATATTTTAGTTTATAATTATATAATTTAGTTGAAATTTATTCACATTATTAGACAGGCTTGTGACCTTGAATTAATTAGGAGTTTTTTATTATGCTATCAAATTATTAGATTTAATTTACTACAATGTTAGTATTGGTGAGAAGGAGTTCGTAATTTTGATTAGAGTTGCAAAAGCGATTGTCTTGGAATTTACAACTATTTATATTGACCTTGATTCCTATTTAATAAATTCAGGCTTACTTTTATCATTGGGTTCTCCTTGATGGGAGAGATTCAAGGCATTACAATTGGAGAAGAAGGCACTCTTTGAAATTTGAAGGTTGATGGGATTTAATGATAAATTGCTGCTGAGGAAAATGCCATGTATACGATTGGAACTGATTGTGGAGTTCTTAATTGTAATGATGAATGGGTTGATAGCATTTTGATCGGGCATTTTGGAAGTGCTGATGTCGATGTCCATTCCTATGGTGTTGTCTTGAATATTGATTTCATCGATTTCCATACAAACCACTTCGCGTATGATTATGGCTGTTTGTTCCATACTAGACATTACATTCTATTTGAGTGAGATCGGTTTGATGAGTTGGAGTAATTAACAGATTTCAACCACGTTGGACATAAACATGCCAATTCTGCATTTAGTGATTGTATTTTTAAAGAGTTGTAATTTGTCCACTACGATGTTGTTCATTCTTATTGCATAATCGGTCGATCGGAAAAAGACATTCTTCTCTATTAATATTGATTTATTCTAGATATTTTCAATAGAAATAGAAGTTTATTGATTTTTAAACTCGTTGTCTATGATTCTGACTTCCACATTCCTGCTATTTGTTATGATGACTGAACTGCCTTCAATAATTGAATTTATAATTTCTATCTAAAATTCTCTGAGATTGTTCGCATGAATCAAAACTGACTGTTGTTGTTGACAATCACTCTGTATTATGGAATGATTTATACTCAATATTGTCCCGTTGCCCTCACAAGCAAACAACACCTAGAATCCATTAAATTTGGTGTCATTTATGATTAAGGAGTTATCAAATTGAATAAACATCCCTTTATTGTGGAAGTTCTCGACGCTGCAAGCCATAATCATCATGTTTCTGCAATGCACTCTAATGCAAGGCGAGATTTGCTAAACTTCTATTTGAAATCCTTGAATACTACACTCCTCATCAAAAATAGAATCTATCGACATCCCCTCAAATACCAAACTCCCTCCCTTAAATTGAATCACAGAATCAATCCCAATTAATTTCAGCACCTAAGAAATTACCACCTCCTTGTTTATTATTATTTTCTTCCTCTTTACTTCCACTCTCTCAGATATCAGTAATTATTGGAATGCATCCCAATCCATCTCCTCATATGTCGGAGTATCTACGGTTTAATTGGTTGAACTTAACGATTCCCTTCTATATTCATTAAGTATATCATTTTCATTCATTTTATAATATAATGAATATCAATCACCAAATCAATTTCTACTTTGCAAATCGCCAATACACTCTTGTCTGGCAAGATCTCGACCAAAATATCGTAAATGAAGTAGTCTTCTTCGTTTTAAATGACATCTCCTCAAAAAATAAATTGAATAACCTGACATTCACCGATTCCAATTTTTCACCCCTCCAATAATCACTTGCACTCTTCCTCCAATCACAACATGTTTTCATCAACACCACCCAAATCAATAGCACCCCTCCCATTGCTCAGGTTCAAGAGTGGGAATTTTAGAATCTCTATTAGCTACTACCCAATCAACTCATAATCCAAAAATTTAAGAACAAGCGTAAATTAGAAAGTGTAAACTATCAGATGCAAACAATCCTCAATCTCAATCAACAATTCAGAGAAACTAGCTCAAATATCAAGGACAATAATAACATGATCAACCAAAAACAAAGCATAGAAAGAAGTGCCAACACCTATCCAATCACCAAAATATAATCTTCAAACATGCAGCAATCGAATAAGCGTCAAACTGAATTGAAATCCTATACCATCGAAGAAGTAATATTCTCCATTATTTTTAAGGTTTAGAAGCACAACACCTAGAAAGATGCATGGATTGTGTTACAGGATAATATCTATGACGTGTCCTATTATATTGAAAAACATCCTGGTGGCAGAGAATAGATTCTAAGAGGAGTTGGAAGGGACGCTACTTTCCTGTTTCTCTAGCATCACCCCTGGATTAACTTTCATTACATTCTTGAAAAATTCTAAGTTGGGTATTTAGTAAAATGAGTATTTATACTAAAAAATATATAGATTATAATTATCAATTCCATATATTAATAAACACATTCAGTTATTATTATCTCACTCTAAATGATCTTTTATTATAACAATTATATCTTTAGAATTGAATTACATATTCAAATTTCGATATTTTTAAGAACTTTTTGTAAATTTGAAGAGAAAATAACAAGATTGCATTAATCTTTCAAATGGATTTATTGGTTATTAATTGTATATTTTATATCCAATTATTCATTTATCATTATTGCTATTAATTCTATTCTTCTATTTAATATCTGATTTATCCTTTTTATAGCATTTAAATAACTTCTTTAGAAATTTCATATTTATTTATTTAGAATGGATTTGTAATATAATTTTGACTGAGCAATATCTTTGATTCCGTGTAATTTGAATTCAAGAGGGTTGGAATTTCAATAATATGCTGTTATGCATAAATGCACAACTTGAAACATGATGTTATAGGCTAATAATACTTGCAAATGGCAAATGTTTTAATCATTATGAAAATAGTGTTTAATTCTTTTCCATTCTAATCAATAACTTTTAAATTATACTTAAGACTAATGGATACAATTATTGTTAGAGGAGAGAATAGAAATTAAATCTATTTAAGTAATAAGCTATTTACTGGCAATTATTATAGAAATCATAAAAATAAATAGAATAAAGTTCTGATAATACTAATAAATTAGTACTATATAACAAGTCATTATTTATCTTTTCTTTATCTTAAAAATTTTAATCTCTATCAATTATAATTGCTTATTATTAATGAATTAGGTCTAAACCAAACAGATGGTATTCATTTCCCAAATCTAGATCAATCAGAATTCTTCAAATTAAAATGACTTAAATTAAGTAAACTAGTCCTTTCTTCATAGATGTTTTATAACTTTTCAATATATCAAAAAGTAATCTAAATTTAAAGTCAAATAAATTAATATACAGACTTCTTTGAGAAATCAGAAATCAAAAATAACCAAATCCCATTTATTCAATTGATTTCTCCTTCTGGTTCTTGCTTAAATTTCAAGATTTAGTTAATTCATATATATTTTTAAAGTTTTATAATTTTTAAATTTGAACTAGAATTAAACAATTATAAATCAGCTAAATGCTTATGAAGACAATTTAACTAAGAATACAAGTGTCAACTAATTTTAGGAATAGCACAATTTCGGATCCTTGTGAAAACATCGTGTTCTTGATTTCTAAATATCGTATCATAAATGAGATACAGATAGTTTATAGGTTTCCTTTCAAGTAGCATTGACAGAGGAGAAATAGAATTAAACTGAAAATTTCTTAATTTAGAATAACAAATTTTTACTTAATTTCGCAAATATATATATTATTTTGTATTGATTATAGCATTCATAGGATTAATATTTTAATTTTCTGTTAAGTAATGGGTCTGAAAGTAGAGAAGGAATAAATGTATAGCAAAACTGGAGGGTTTGGATTGATGATTATCGATCCAAGTATAGGAGTTCTGACGGGATCGTTGATCACAACTAATGTATAAGTCCATTTATAATATGTGTATAAATATTATATTAAATATGATATTGGCTATTTTATACAGTAGCATTTGGATGTGCAATACAATTTACGAAATGATGCTGGGAATTGAGTACAATATTTATATTATAGAGACAGCTATTGTATTAGGGTATCTAGTTGGGGATTGTTGTGAGTTTCCTCATGTTGCAATATCTATAGAAATCGAGGCAATCTATCAGCTACATGATCCCAATCCTTCTTTTATGCCTGAACATTTTAAGTAACCATTAAATTTACAATAGATATCAACGAAGACATGAATAGCGAAAAACTGTATTTATTTCTGCTGCCCCCCTTAATATATGACCATTTAAATAAGGATGAAAAAAAGAAACTTTATTTTATCATTTTCAAATTTCTGCATCTCATCACTATGTGCGTTTGGAAGGCGTTAGGCGATCTGAATAGAGGTTAACCAATAATAATAACATTTATATTATTATTGTTCACATACTATCTCTAAAAGTAATATGATCAACAACTGAAACGAAATGAAGGAGGTCTCGAAGACACCATAAATATAAAGACCATCACAGACACTGATCGAATCTGGGAGTCATAAAATTATTTGATAAGTATAATCAAATTGGATGGTAAATTAAATTTGATGATGAGCAATAACAGAGCGTAAGACCTATTGAAAAACATCAATTTACAGGAACTCTTGAATAGCCCTTTACTATCAGTGGATAAGCAGACCAGATTATTAATGCAAGAGCAATTCAGTTGTAAATTTCCATCGATTCAGGATTTAAAAGAGGTTCAACAACATTATTCCCTGAATGAATTGCTGGAGCAACTGCAGTAACTACAAAAGTACCCTTATGAATTCGAAGTCTTCAGCATTCGAGGTTATAACGATCTCCACTTGAAGGTGTTTTACCTTGAGCCTAAGTCTTTTACAATAGTGCTGCAAAATATGGAAGATTACAATCTCCAAATTAAGAAGGTGTTTACACAAACTACGATGCAACAATTGTTTAAGAGTTTTAGCCATGAGTACAACACCTCTTTAAACTATATCTTGGCATTAGCATAGGTAGCTGAGTGTCATGAAGAGGTGCCACAAAATATCAAAGAGTAATTCTTTAAGCCCATATTGGTGAATGGAAAAGTGATGCACAGTATGGTGTTGGATATGATGGATTACAATAGTATCTTAGGAAAGACATTCAGTTTGCAAGTGGCCGTCTTCAATATCTAGGAGTTGATACTCGATGTCATTTCACTTTTTAAGGATCAAATATCAAAAAAGAATCTAGAAATCAAAATTGACTTTAGATCTAAAATAACATAGATTCTGTCTGATCGAAATAGGATCAAGCAGATATTGATCAATTTGGTATCCAATGCCCAAAAGTTTACACTCCAAGGATCCATATCCCTAAAAGTCGAAACCTGTTTATCTCAAAAGAATTAACAATATGTAGTATTCCATGTTTAAGATACTGGCATTGGTATGACAAAGGCTGAACAAGATCGATTGACCTTCTTATTGTAATAAGGAGTGCCTTCGATACAAAAGATATCCAAGAACACAGCTGGATTTGGATTGGGATTGTTTATCAGCAATAAGATAGCGGAAGCCTTATCGTAACAGAGATTTGAAAAAGGAGGGGGACTCAGATTTGAAACGCAAACTGGAAAAGGATTTCATTGTTGGTTTTCAGTGTACCCTCAAACCGTTAGTCCAGGTGTTAAGCCCAACAATCCAAAAAGTCCATTGATTATGCTGAATAAGAAGATTATTATAGACACAAGATAAACTGAAGTCAATGCTGGGATTGAGACATTGAAAAGAGGACTTATGAGGACCAAGTTCTCTCATTTATTGGGTAATACTGGGTAGACAAATGATGGTAATCAGATCAGATAGCGAAGACCACATAGTTAGATACGGTTTGTGTAAGAACTAATTGATGCTGTGTCAACAGATACGATCAATAATGAATGTTCCATTGAGGACTATTAAACAAGGGTTAAATACATTAAGTCTCAACAAATTTAGCAATAATAACAATCGTTTTTGTTGAGAAGCAATTAATCATTCATTGAATGTCGATGTCCCAATATCCTCATTGTAGATGACGAGTAGATTAATATATTAGCATTGTCGATCTTGTTAGAACAGCTTGGTTTGACTTCTGACTAGGTGTTTAATGGGAAGGAGTGTGTCGATTTGATATACTCGAAATAAAGGAAAAGTATTGATGAACATATATTTTGTTAGCTTATTGTGGGAAATGCAGCGATAGACAGTACTAATTGATATTTATGGACATCAATATGCCTATTCTCGATGGGTGGGAAGCATCAAGGCAAATTAAAAAACGGTTTTCAATTCCCATTATAGCTTGTACTGCTTTTACTGACAACGAAACCAAGGAATAATGCTATCAAAATGGGATAGATTACTATTTATCTAAGCCAGTAAAAAAGGAATCACTCATCCAAGTATTGCAATATTACCGTATACTTTGACTTAAAAATCTTTTTATTTATTTATATATATATAATATTATTATAGGGAATTGGTTTCAATTCAAAGTTTCGTTTAGGAAGTCTATGAAAAATGACGTAACTTTAATTTTAGAATTATATTAACAAATATTATCGTGTCATTTTAGTCTAAGTATTAATTTAGAAATCAAAAATAACAATATTTTATGTTCAATAACTGTGGGGAATTCTTAAGAAGAATCGATTAATTTGGAGCCAGTTATAAACCTAGTTATGCCTACGGAGAAGTTCAATACAGAACATCTTTGGGAGGGTTGCTTTCAATTATCTTATATGGATTGAGTTTGGCATATTTGATATACGAGATTGTGTTGTGGAGATACGGGAGAATACTTCCGAAGGTTACAGCTTTGAACACTGAAATAGAAACCTACGAATTATCGTTTGATAAAGTACCTCTCGCATCTTTTTGTTTGAGAAGACACAAGGATATCAAAGATTAAATTGACCCTTTTGATCCGAACCATATCGTTTTGCTGCCGATGCTATATGAATTAATCAACGACGAGCTCCAAGATCCATTGCCTTTGTTTTCGACCAAGAAATCAGAAAAACACGGAACTACAATGATAGAACTCAAAGATGTAAAATTGACCAACAACCAACATGAATCATTGGAACATCCAGATAGGGAGTACATGCTTATTTTACAGCAATGCGTTTAAAGTATACTCCCTCAAGGATTGTACTGTGCAGATGTAGATACGATTAAGAGATTCTTCAATCAAAAGTAGAACCAATTGTCTGTGCAGACCTATGTCAATTAATTTAACACCTCAACAAAATAACTGGATGTGGTTGAGCAATACTATTATGCCTCAATCGACAATAAGACCACTTATTTCAGTCAAATAACTATCTGTACATCAAACGTATCTGTCGACACTGGATTCTTATTAGAAAGTCTGGAAATTATGGATTTCCCTAGTTCAGCCTAGCAATATGTTCAGTAGATGGATTTAGATTATTTTACTCACACTTTTCATTAGGATGTCTATGTCGTATTCGAGTTCGAGGTGGGAACATTGCAATCGACTGTGGTAATCGAATATCCCAAAATCTCTGAAGTAATGGCAAACATCGGATCTATCATCTCATTCTTCTTATTCTTCTCTCAATTCGCCTACGTGATAAATGAGAAGAATCTTGAATCAAAGGTAGTGAGGAATTTGATTGAGATGTACTATCCTCAATTCAAGCAAATTACTTTCGAAAAGAATCTCTTCGGCAAAATCACCAATATTAAATACCAAAATCAACGAGTAGCTATGTCATTTTTAAAGACTTATGAGAAGTTGTTGAGAATTGCATCTGCTAAATTGTGTATAACCAATACACTCTATGAAATCTCTAGATTATAGTTCATAATAAGTTCAATCAGTGATAAGGATGTCATCAGAAACTGCCACGAAATCGGGATCAGATTAAAATATATAGAAATGGAACCAAACTCCATAAAGATAGAGAATAATCAGAATAACTCAAATAATCAAATACTAAGATAAGATAACAATGATAATAATTCAGTTGACGATTAGAATCAGAACATACTTAAAATTGTACTTCTTTTAACCCCTATTAATCTAGATACCCTAGCACTTAATGGATGTGCCATAGTCTATAGTGCAGTTCTCAAAGTTGAATCCATCTCAAAGTCTATTTTTGGGAAGGAACCTCCAACCGCAAGAATCGATAGATGCTGAATTGAAGTTGACTGACGAAGATTTTTACATCCTCATGTAAGAATAGTAGAAGGTTAAGGATTTCAACATTGTTGAATTATGCGACAGTGTGACACCTCAAGCGAAATCCTAAAACATTAATCGGGATTAATCCAATTGATTATGTGAATTTATATTCTTCTTTTATCATTCAAAATACATTGTTATAATATAAACTTAAATTTAATTAATTAGAATACAATGTAAGGGAAATTTAACTAATGTTGATAATCTTATTGTATTTTTAAAAAATGACATCATTTTTGTATTCATATTATTTTAATTAAATAAAATTATGTCATTAACATCGATTCAACCCAAAAATTAAATTTCCCTTTCTATATTTAGTTTAAAGAAACATGATTAATAATATCTCAGAATTCTTAAGAAGAGTCGATTAATTCGGAGCAAGTTACAAACCGAGCTACGGTTATGGGGAAGTGCAATTCAAGACCTCTCTCGGAGGACTGCTCTCAATTTTATTATACGGTGTCAGTTTGGCATATTTGCTTTATGAATTGATTTTGTGGAGATCAGGATAACTCTTGCCAAAAGTGACATCCATAGCAACTGAAATAGAAACTTATGCCTTAAACTTTGATCAAGTAGTTATTGCTGAATTCTGTCTGAGAAGACATAAGAGTATTCTTGATTAAATAGATCCTTTCGAACCCGAAAACATGGTATTGCTTCCAATGCTATATAAAGTTGTGGAGGATGAACTCTAAACCCCGACGCCTCTCCTATCTAAAAAACTGTCCCCTAAACATAATATGATTCTGATTGAAATCTAGAACATAGAACTTGTTAATAATGAGCATGAAGAACTTGATCAAAAAAACATTGAATATACAATTATGTTTGAAGAATGCGATCAAACTGTTCTACCAGAAGGCTGGAGTTGTGCTACTGAGGAGAGGGTTAAAGAGTTCTTCAGTTAAAAATAAAACTAGCTCTACATTAAGACATTTGTCAATTAATATAATACCTCCACTAAATTGTTGGATTTAATTGAGTAGGATTACTACGCTTCTTTCGACAATAAAACTACTTATTTTACGTAAATGTCGTTAGAGACATCTAATGTTTCAGTTGATACGGGATTCTTATTCGAAAGTATCCAACGACATGAATTTCCAAGTCACATAATGTCATATACCCAATAAATGGACTTAGACTACTTTACCCACACTTTTGGTAAGGATGTGTTCATTGTATTCGAACTCGAGCTTGGAACACTACAACAAACAACATTCATCGAGTATCCAAAAGTGTCAGAAGTCTTGGCGAACATTGGATCTATAATCTCCTTCTTTCTATTCTTTTCGCAAGTGGCTTATCTGATAAATGAAAAGTCACTTGAAGATAAAATAATTAGATCCGTTATAGAAATGTATTATCCTCAATTTAAGAATATTAAGTTCATATAAAATTGGTACACGAAAGTAGTTGGGGTGAAATATTAGGATAAGTCGGTTCCATTCAAGAAGTTCATGCAAAAGTATAAAGACTTATAAGACATCGCCAGATAGAAACTGTGTCTGACTAATTTTCTATATGAAATCTCCAGATTGTAGTTTATTATACGTTCGAATTATGACTCTGAAATTTTGAGCCAAAGTCACAACATAGGGATCAAACTAAACATACTGGAATCATCCCCTGATCCTGAGGAGAAATCAGAAATCCAATAAATTAATAAAGTTCACGATTTTCACATAGAAAACGTAGATGACTAATCCCTTGAAGAAATAAGAGTACATCCTAATAACAATGTAAATTCAATTAAAATTCTTTAGAACCCCCAAGTCACTTTGGATGTCAATGCACAAAGTGTTCTGAATATTGAATAGCTTTAAAAACCTTAAAGTTTATTCATCAGCAAATCAAATCTGTAATTTTCAAACACTTAAAATAATGAACAATTAAAATTAAACGACGAAGACTTTTACATCTTAATGTAAAATCAATAAGAAATAAAATTTGAAAACTCAAAATAGTAATCCACTATTTATCTGAATAAAATATAAGATGGAAAATGATTAATATTTTTGTATATAATATTATTACATCAAAAGACTCATTCGTTAATTAATTTGGCCACTCAATATTTGTATCCAGCCCCATAAACACCAACCACCTTACTTTAAGGAGCCTAACTTCTGAAGATCTAAGCATCCGTAGTGCTATTTCGTTATTAGGATTTTATTTGACTTTAACCAAGATTGGCTCGAGAATTCAATCTAGTCTAATCATCTGCATACACATTACTAAATTAGATCGTTGAAGAGTTATAAATACCAGACTAATCCATCAATTCCAATTTTTAGACGCATGTTTATAAGAATAATTTTGCTAAATATGATTTAAATAATTACGTTTTATTCTGGTAATTGTAGAATTTCTATTTTTTTATTCACACTGCGGACATTGTAGAAATTTAATGGAACAACAAACCCCAATTTTATGTTTTGTACAATCAATCTCCTATCTTAAGTTGTATTCTGAAAAACTAGTAAAACACATTGTGCATTCACCCTATTCAAATTATTTAAAATCTTTTTAAATTTTGTATTCCTGAGTAGACTGGGAGACTTGATCATTTCCACTTAAAGAATTTACCGATTTTTCATTTTGATCTACTTATTATTACTATTTGTAATTAATAAATCTTGAAGGATATTGGGTTACCTTCTCAGGGATGATTTATTTTTCTTGTTGTTATTTAAGAGCTTAAAGTTCTTTCAGTTCTCTTTCCTCCTCTTCTTTCTAAAATTGTTCTTCATATTTCATCCTCTCCTCTAACTAACTTAATTACTATTGTTCATAAAATTCATCAAAATCATCCCCATAAATATTGTTACAAGATGGACATGTGAAATTCTAAGTATTTGGCCGTTTCTGTATCTGCATTTCAACATGTAAATGTATGCACGAAAAACAAGTTAAATGTTTACACCTTTTGTCTTTATATAATCTAGATATTTGAGTTTCATTATTGCATTTAGTGCATTTTGCTAATTATGACTTCTAAGTTTGAACCACCTTCTATATTCTAGATATATCGTCTCCTAGTTACAATCTCTATTAAAATAGAAAATCGTCTATTATTATCTCACAACTTTCAACCACACACTTTTATCCTTTACTAGTGATTCGTTATTTAAAGCAATCTATGCAAAATCTATGGGAGCATTACTTATTAACATAGAGTTATTTTGTTGAGGGTTGAAAGCAAAAATCGCATTACTATTCTAATTATTCTATTGGTTTATTCTATTAAATGGGTTTTTAACTCTTATCCAATACTTCGGTAGAATGTCCATAACCCTTTGAATTATCATTGGTAAATTATTAAGATCTCTATAAGTTAAGCTATTAATCCTATTGTTATCTTAGTGCTTCAAGCTTTAATTCTACATTTAAATATGATTCAGCATCCTTAATGAGTATTTTTTCCTTGCAACTATTATTGCATTAAACAACTTAATTATTCGAATTGGCGTTTACCTTTTTTATTTTTTCAAAAAGACACTTTCGGCAATTTATATGGAGACAATTAGAATTAATAAAATAATTGTCAACTTTTTTATAACACATGTTACATTGTTAACCTGCTTGTGATATATATTAAATCAAAGGGCTTGTTTATTTAATTAAATAATAGCCATCTGTTTAAGAAAATAGAAATATTCTTTACTTGCTAGTCTAGCCCATGGGATATTGTCCAAGTAGATTTACTTAAATTGAAAATAACTTTGCGATGCTCTCAATCGTTATTTTTTAATTAGAAGCAGAGAATCTTAATTCTTAGAGTTCACAAAACTCTTCTAAAAGTTATTATCCCTTATTATTATAGATGTCAATATTTTTGAGAAAAATGAAAAATTCTTTTACACTTATATTTCCAATTCTTAGATTATAAATTTATTAAGCTATTTTTTGATTGTCTTCTTTTTTATAGTTTCTCCTGGGTTTAGCCAATGTTTCCATCGACTGAGATTTGTTTTATGCCATAAAATAATCTAACAATGCTATGAAAAATGTGGATATTAGGTTTTTTCCTAGGAATTGCATTTATGAAAAAGGTGGTAGTTCTTAAAATTATCGTTTAACAAAGGGTGGAAGAAACCCTACTTCATATATTGCAAGCTTCATTTAATATTATAATTAACATTATATAATATAATTAATTTTATTGTGATATTTCATCATATTTGAGCAGAATTAAGAAAAAGCCTCCGGATTCGATCATTCGTGTATTAGAACTAAGATCCATTGATGAACATGTGAAAATAAGAAATTTATTGGAGAAATTCTAGTTTATGGAAATAATTGTTTAAATTCAGAAAAAAAGAATTAAGGAATGCATTTAAAGGATGTTGATTGATTTAGTGATTAAGTTTAGTTGTCATCTATTTGTTTTATAAAATAATATATAGAAATTTCTGAATTCTGAATTGATAGGAGTAGGTGATTCATGAGTGGATTGAGAATATTTATGAAGACAAGTGTATTTGATCAGGAAAGATAAATAAATATAATTTATGGCAACTAAGGAACACAGTCTTTATAAATTAGTAAGCAAAGATTAGGCTGAAGCATTTGCATGGTCTTTTGAGGGTCCAAATACAGAGGCTGTCCTCTATCCATTCTAATTCCCTCCCATCAGACCAGATGAAGTCAGAATTCAATAGACATATTTTGGTTTATGCTATACAGATTGTAAATTGTATAAATGATAATTTAGGTCATCTTGTTAATTAAGATTGGTTCCCAATTAGTTATCCAAGTGTTCCTGGACATGAAATCTTAGGTCACGTAGTACAAAGAGGAGATCAAGTCACTCAATTCTAAATTGGTGACTTAGTCGGAGCAGGATTTATCAGAGATAGTTGTGGAAAATGCAAATAATGTATTTTAGGAAATGATCAATTGTGTGGATAAGTCGGAAATGAGCATTTGATTCCAATCCCCAAATTTGGTGGATTTGCTACTCATGTCTAATTGCCAGCAAAATGGGCATTCCCAATTCCCAACACAATTCCTCAACATCTTGCTCCTCCTCTTTTATGTGCAGGTATTACAGTCTATGCCCCACTCAAGAGACACTTTGGAGCCAACAAGAAAGTTGGTATCCTCGGTATCGGTGGTCTTGGACATTTAGCAATCAAATTCTCTGCTACTTTGGGCATGCAAACAACAGCCATTTCTACATCAGCAGACAAAGAAGATGAGGCAAGATCCTATGGTGCCACTGATTTCATTTGCACCAAGAATCAAGAATAGATGGCTAAGGCAAATGGAACATTTGACATGATTTTGAGTTGTGCTAGTGCTAATACAGTTGATGAATTCATTGCTTACACTAACCTAATCAAGAGTGGAGGTGATTTTGTCATGGTTGGTATCCCAGCACTCACAAAGGTTGAACTCTAATTACCATTTTTCGCCTTGGTTGTAAGATAAATTTCCTTTGTTGGATCCCTCGTTGGATCAAGACAAGTATATTTGAATATTAAGACCCTTAGGAAAACTATGAAATGCTTGAGTTTGCCAATAAGCACAAGATCTACCCTACTTGTGAGTAATTCGAGTTTGAGAACTTCAGAGGTGCCTATGATAAATTGTTGAATGGAAGACCCAAATACAGATGCGTTGTCAAAGTTGGTAATGCTCCAGAAACACTCAAGTAATGAGAGTATTATATATAAAGAATCAATTTAAATTGTTATATTTCTCTTTTTTAAGCAGATATTATTTATATAAGATATTTATAATATAAAGCTTACAAATATAGTAAATTATCAATTATTCTAATTATTTCTTAAACAACAACTCATGTTCTTTAACGAAATCATTCTCCCCTTCATTTCACTAAAAAACTATTTGAATAGAAAGATCAATTAAACTAATATCGAGGACACAATAAAAAATAATATTATCCATCCTATGAAATACTTTTGATCAAATGACAATATTATGCTTACATCATGAATAGCCAGTAACACTGTAATAAGGACGATTATGAAAATACAGAAATCAGGCACTGCTATTTGCACTAGTATGCTTTTACTTACAAAGGGATTCTGATAGAGAATCAATGCCAAATTTAAAAAACATGTTAAACAACACAATGCTGTTTATAACAAAGGCACCTCATAAAAGTATACTGTAAAAAATATAAACAAGGCTTTCCTAAATAAATTCACTTAACAATAATTCCTAGATAGTTTCTATTTAGTATTGATTCCTTCATACAATGAACAGTAATATTTTGAAAAGACTTTACTCTCATACAAAATTCCATGTTGAGAACAAACAAAAGAGTATAACCTAAACACCAAATATATAAAAATAATTCCAACAACAGCTAAGAAAATATTAAATTAGATAATGGCATACTCTTTATTACACTTATTTTTTAATTAAAGAACACTGGCCAAACAAATATCTAGAAATACTAATCCAACAATTTAAAGCAGTTTAGCTCTAAAATTGTCTTTAAAATCTTGGGTTTATTTATATATTGCTTTTACTATTGAAGGCATTTCTTTGGTTTTTATTTCAATTATATTAGAACTCAATTGTTATGGGATTGTTTGATAAATACTTCTTTGTCTTGGGTTGACTGTAAAAATTGAAATTTTATGTTTTTATCTCAAATTTTGTTCATACTGAGTTTTAATGATTGACACTACTGCGCATGTACAAATATAAGCAAAAATTGCTAATAAATATAATCCAAAAAATAATTAGACATTATTTAAAAATAATGGATTGACATCTTTTTCAGTAAATTTGGGAGGTGCTTCAAAATAATAAGGATCATCTGGTGAATTCAAAGAAATAAAATCAGGAATATTGAATACATCACCCCATTGAAGTTTATTGAAAAATAACTTTACATTCAAAGGGTAATCTACATTCAGAAAATAAAAGTTGTTAATCCAAGTTAAAATATCTAAGATAGTCCAAAAGAAATTGAATCCTCCCAAAAGTATAGTTAACGGGCCAATCAATTAAAGAATGAAAGTAAAGGTAGAGGAGGTTGCTGCAACATTTTGAGCTTGAGCCTTTTAACCTTCGTTATAATATACCATTCTTCTTGGAATGATTACAACTTCTCTTACATCTTCTTCAAGGATTCTGGTGGCATTTTCTTTTAAGGGAACCATCAAATGAATAAGATTAGATTCCAATATAGTCTTAAAGAACTTAAATGTAATTTGACAACTCTAAACATTAAAATTTTACATTTCCTTTTTCGTAATATTATATTTGTATTCGTTTTATTTGAAATTTTCGATCGAAATTTTTACCTTGCTGCATATGCCTTCTATATAGATATCCTCTAAAGTTAAATCAATATCATTCGTAGTAGTCGAGTTTGAATACCTCAAAGTTACTTATTTTTTTGGGGGTAGTATACATAAGCCATCTTTACAAAGGAACTCCTTTTCAATTTCACATTTGGAATTGCATCCATCTTTATCTGTTTGATTTCCGTCATCGCATTACTCTTGACCAGCTATGATATTGTCTCCACATTTAGTAAAGCAAGATTTAAGTTGTTTATCCAAATAAAACCCAGATGCGTTATCGCATTTCTTGCATCCATCTGTGATGCATTTTGTGCAATTATTTGGAGTATTTTCACATTCCTCACATTTTTCTGAACATAAATTACATGAATTATCTTTTAGAAAATACCCACTTTTACATTATATACACTCTACCTTGTCAATATTCAATTTGCAATCCTCACAATTTTCTTAGCATTTATAACAATAACTTAATAGTTTTACATCCTCTTCACACTTATAAGAAGGATCAGGTTTACAAGAAGTGCAACCATCTCTTGCTATCTCATTATGATCATCACATAATTCATCACCACTTTTAATACCATCTCCACATTTAGTTTCGCATTTCTGACCATTTAAATAATAGCCAACTTAACATTCAAAACATTCTCCCTTCTAACAATTTGAGCATAATTTATCACATTAATATTTACATTCATAACATCCATCATATGGGATATTATTCTAATCTTCGCATTATTCACTACCTAGTACAAACCCATCTCCACATTTAGTCACACAATCATTTGAAAAATGATCGTAATATAAGCCTGCTATTCCTTGACATTATTTTATTTCCTCACAAATTCCCTTTGATTCTACTAAGATAAGAGAAGATTCACATTATAAACATTTACCATAATAACAATTTAAGCACTCCATTTAACATTGAAAATTACATTAAAAACAACCATCATATCTAAGTTCATTACCATCATCGCAAACTTCATCTAAAGCAACTATCTAATCACCACAAACAGAATTACACGAATTACTTACAATATCCAAATAGAATCCTTCCTAGCAAAGTGTACATACTCCAAAAGCACACTATTTACAATATTGAGGACATTAAAATTTGCAATTTAAACAAGAATCTAACAAATATTGACTTCCGTCATCACACTCTTCTTCTTAAACTTGTATACCGTCTCCGCATTTAGGAACACAGTTATTCCCATAATATCCCTATTCACATTCTACACATGTTTGTAGTAAACACTTTTTACAATTTCTAGAGCACTTATTCATATTGTAATCTATTATGCAAATATTTGTGACCTAATCTAAGTATCCAAATTAACATAATATACATTAATTATTATTCAATAATTTACAATCAGGTTATTCATAAATTACAAGATCAGGAGAAATAGGGTTACATTAGTTGTTTAATTAATCCAATTTGAAATACATTTAACAAGATAAACATCTTCCATTCTAGCAATCTTCGCAATATCTTGTGCATTAGAAATTGCATTAAAAACACCCGTCATAACTGACGAAATTTCCATCATCGCATTCTTCATTTCCTACAACCATTAAATCTCCGCAAATTGGCTTACATAAGAATAAATCTAATATCCATCCCGTCATACACCCATAACAAACCCCATCAATACAACTTATACAATTAGGATCACAAGTGTGCTGACAGTAATTATTACAATTGTCATCATTAATAAGATTCTAATCATCGCATTACTCGAATTCTTCAACTATACCATTTCCACAAGTTTGAAGTTGCATAAAATCATCTACCTTATTAATTATAATGCATTGAGAATATTCATTCAAATAAGAATCACTATTGCATAATTAGCATACTCCTTAGATACAATTAAGACAAATGTCTTAGCATTTTGAGTAACATTTATTTTCAATTAAGTCTAAATTTTCGGAACACTCAAAGCATTAGCCTTATAAACATATACTACAATTATGATCGCATTAATATTTACACTAATGACAACCATCAAATAATTGAAGATTCTAATCATCGCAATCTTCCTATCCTGCTATATACCCATCTCCACAGATAGGCTCGCAAATTAATAACTCTTAATTGAAGTACAATCCTTTGAAACATTCAATTTTTAAAATACAACTATTATTTTCTAATTCATAGTCTTCTGGACATTGTAAACATAACCCATTATTATTACAATAAACACAGTTTTCTGAGCATTCTAAAACACAAACACCATACTCATTAAAAAAATATTAATCGTCACAAATTTGGCATTGTCCGTTTAAACACAATTTACATTCAAAAGTGCATTAAGAATCATTCTGTTCACTTTAACAAAATCCTTACTAAAGATAGTAATTTGGAGCACATTTTTAGCATTAACCAAAGCTACAACTGATACATTATTAACTACAAGAGTATTTACACTAATAACAACCATCAAATTGTATATAATTATTATCTTCACATTCTTCATCATGAGCTACAATTCCATCTCCACAACGAGATTAACATGCATTAGAATATTCATTAAGATAATATCCAACTTGGCATTAATAACAAAGATTTAAAAAATATAATAAGCAAAATTTTGGAGCATAATACATGCAATTTAAGCAATCCTGATCTTGAATTTCACACTATTCATCATGCACTAGTATTCCATCTTCACAAAAGGATACACATTAAAAGTTATCATCTAAATTATAACCATTCTAACATGCAATACAAGAATTTTGATTGCATTCTCTGCAGAATTCAAAACACTGATTGCAATACAAATCTGGAGATATCTTAAGATAATATTAACAAATATCGAAAGGATCAATGTCTAATTTACAACTTTATTCAACTTGGTCAAAGTATGCATAATTTTCACATCTGATACAAGTCTAGTCAATCTAAATCTGACAGTTATCAATTAATGTAAAAGTGTTTTCTAGTTATTTAATACATTAGTATTGATTTAAGGATAAATCATATCCATTTGTGCATTGTTAACAAGTACCAAGTTGGCAAATATAGCAATTAATATCGCAAGTAAATTACCTAGAGTTAAAGCCTTTTTATGCCACTTCGATGTTTACGATTTCACATTGTTCATCACTTGTCTATAAAGCATCTCCACATATAGGATAACATTTAAATTATTCTAACTGATAACCATGTAAACAATGATAACAGAGTCCTTAAATACAATTGAGACATGAATGCTAACAACTAAATTAACAAAAATGACATCCATCTCCTAATATCAAATTACCATCATCACATTATTCATCATCTGTTACTATTCCATCTCCACAAATTGATTAACACAAATTATCAATTCTATCGTAACCTAGTTGACAAGCGAGGCAACCTTATCCATTAGTATCACATGTTATACAAGATGATTAGCACTTTAAAAGGCATATTTAATTAGAGGAGAGATTATATTTAGAAGCACATGTTTCACATCTATTATTAACACAATTAGTGCAAATAGATGATTGTTAACATTAATATTAACACCAACCACTGCAACCATCATAATTAATTGTATTGCCATCATCACATTATTCTGAATAGTATCCGTAAGGGTCTGTGACTACTAAACCATCTCCACAAATATTCTTGCAATAATAAGAATATGGTTAAAAACCAGTGTATTCACAACTTAAACAAGAACCTGTAGTGTAATCACAAGATGAGCAACCAATTCCACAATGATACTTACAATCTTTGCATCCATCTGTATCAATAGTATTTCCATCTTCACATTATTCAGTTCCAACAATTAGTTAATCTCCACATCTTTCTTTACATTACCAAGGTGTGTTTGTAGGATCAATAAACCATCCTGCAGTAGCACATTCTTAACATTACCCTTTTATACATTTAGTACATGAAGGTTAACATTAAAATTTACAATTATAACATCCATCATATTAAATATTATTGCCATCTTCACATTCTTCAATTCCAGTTATATATCCATCACCACAAATATCTGGACATGGTAAAGTAGTATTTTAGTCACAAGTTACACAATGAACTGGACATTGATATTAACAATTATAACATAAATCATCCAAAACATTGTTATTATATTCACATTATTCATATCCTTTTATTAATGAATCTCCACAAATAGGTTAGCATTCTCCTTATTGTAATTGAAATCCTAAATCACAAGAACTACATGTATTTGTATGCCATATCTATGAATTATTATTACATAATTTATAACATTAACTTAATGAACTATCTTCTGTATTTGGACAATCTATAATAAATATTTGAAATACTTGTGCAAATATTATTTAATTCATAATAACCAGGTATACATTCACATTTTAATCCTTTTAACATTCTATTTAAAGATGAATTACATGTTAAACAACCATTAATAGCAGAACTAAAACATGACTAACAGGATGAATGACAATTAGAACAACTTTATATTGAATCTTAATAATATGATCCAATTGGACATGTACATGTTGTTCCTATATTTTGTATATTAATAATATTGTTGCAAGTTAAACACTCACTAGATCTTGGTCCAGTACAGGTTTTACAAAATTAATGACATAAAAGACATTAAGGATTTGATTTGATTGGATAATATCCATCTATACAATTACATTATCCATTGTATAATTATCTATTATTACTAATTAAACATTCTATACAATAAGTTTAACTTAAACATTAATTACATTCAATTGGACAATCATAGCATTGATTTGATTCTTCATATTAATTGTATTTACAAGTACATCCTAAATTACTTAAAGTATAAGTAGATTAACAACTTAAACAATCTAATTTAGATATACAACTTAAACAAGGCATTAAACATTATATGCATCTAACTTACTCTTTATCATAATATTAGCCTGACACGCATTCTGCTATTGAAAATTTAACAACAGTCGAATTATATGTACTATTCCATTATGTACATGTATTTTAATCTGTACATTCTAAGCAATAAGGCATGCATTTATGAACAGCTATATAATAATTATAGAATCCACAATAGGCATTAATTGGTTCATTATTATATCCATAACATTCCCAATATATTGTTAATGTACTTGTATTATGAGATATTCTTTCATATACCTTATCTTATTTTGAACCATCAGAATAGGTTGAATGTAATTAAGAGGTTGATTTATAAACTGGTGATTTGTTTTCAATTGTATATATGAAACATCCATTTGAAGGGAATGTTGGACCATAAAGGATATAAAAGGCAATAGTGAGACTATGATGTGGATCAACTATGTTATGAACCCTTTTAAATTTAGCCTAGGCCCAAACAAATGGGCCTCCAAAGACTCGATATGATTACCAATATGAATAATAAATATCTAATCCTTTTAAAAAATTGGTTCCGCTTTTAGAAATTAAAGTATATTAAGAATATTATTCAGGATCATTGGAAGTGTCTAAATATTCTTAAACTAAGAACATGGAGTCTATGTTTATATTGGTATAGATTACATGGTGTCTCATCATCAAAATCTTGACAATAGGAACCGTTTAATTGTTAGTTTGGGTCTGAACAACCCTAAATGCAACTACCACCTTTATAGTAATAATATCCAGGCATACAAGTCTTACATTTAAATGATACTTCACAAAGTTAACAATATAAAGGGCAATACCCAGAAGTAATTTCGACTGAAACCATTCCCCATCCTGCAGTATTATCCCTAGAGTATTTAAATTGAAATTTACGTAAAATTCCCTACTGCTGAAAATAAAAATGAGTTTTTAGGAATGTCCAGATATGTAATTAAATCGTATTTCATGACTTCGGTATAATTCATAATTGAGGCATAGGAAGCATAGGAAACTTTATCAAAGAGTTTTAATTTATGCATCTACATTCCAGACTCATTTCTATAAATTGATCCAAAATAAATGTTATTAATCTTAAATTATATTCCACAATTAATTGGAATCTCATTGAATATGGTAATTGAAATTTTAATCCCAATTAAATAAGTAGCATAAGAATATTAAGAAATTTAAAAAAATCTATATAGACCGGAGTTAAATTTTAACACTCCATAAGTGTATTAGTATGTAGTATATCCTAAGATTGTTGGATATTCATCCATATGATTCAGATCATATATATATGACCATTTGTAAATTTCCTATTAACTATTAGAGTAAAAAAAGCTTGAGTCTATTGTTTAAACTATTATAAATGAATATAAATTTACTTTAATATTTCTAACAAAATCCATTATAAAATGATGGAGAGTAAATGTCACAAGTATATTTACAACCTATATTTTCCATATAATAAAAATTTGATGGACATAGTGGGCAAATGCCATATGTAGGCGATCCATAATAGCAACTTGTGCATTAATCGAAGTTTGGACCTATGCAATATATGCAGGAAGGATAACATTTTGGATATGATATATAAAAGTTTCTAAATGAAACTTATCCTTCAATAGAGTTAGAGACTTATAATTGAGTTTATCCCCAAACAGGGTCTGCTATTGTAAAATTGACAGTTCTGACATTAGCAGAAATGTTGTCACAAAACTAGGTGATTAATGAATAATTTGATGGTGATGTGTATGTATAATTGTACGAAAATGATCCAAAAACAAGTGTAACATTATTATTTGACCATGTACCTTGAAAGAATAAGTCTACCGATATAAAATACCCATTCATATACTAATAGGATTAATAATGCTTTGCTAAGTTATTTGTCTTATTTAAAGTAATGTAACTTGTTGGAGGAGCTTTACAAGTGATAAAATTGGCAGTTGTAGAACTTGATTCTGAAATAAACTAACCTGAATGTAAATAAGCATTAAATCCATTATAATAGGTGAAATACTCATCACCAGTTAAGAGGCTATCATATGTTTGCCATTATGAATTTGTTAATTATATCAAACATACGACGATAAGTTTGATTAAGGATTTCATTTATCAAAATATAAAATTATCTAAAATAAATCGATGAGTTTATATTTAACAAATATAAATTCTAATCTAAGAGTTTTCTATTAAACAATCATTTTTTTTTTTAGTCTCAATTCACCTGTATAAATTGTAAATAAATTATATTTTTAAAAAGATATTAATAAAAATAAAAAAGCATTCCATTTCATCTGAAGTTGGTTTTGTGTGAACCATTATCAAAATGAACAATGATGCAACGCATAGAATAATATTATTATAGAATTAGATGCAATGTAGGAGATTAAATTGAAAAGCATTGAAAAATTAAGAATTAAAATGAGCGGCAAAATTGATTACATGAGTGGCTGACATTTCTAAATGAGATTTTGCATTTCTATTAAAATGGTAAGTCACGATTTGCAATTCCTTGAATGTGTGCTAAGGTTTATGAAAAAACCCAAAACCATCCTTGAGAATAATATAAAACATGATTAAATTAAATTCTAATATCTGAATCAGATATATAAATCTTAATTAAATTTAAAAAATATTTTATGGATCGTCTTAACCCATCTTCAAAAGATTGTATAGTTCCACTAATTGAAGAAAATTCCCCCTGTATTTGTAATAAATAATATTTATAAATAGAAACAAACAAACCAGAGATTGATCCCCACTTTTTATTACCACAATTTACACAAATGATGTAAAACCCAGATTTCTTCCTTTAAACTGTTTAATTAGAGTAACTTAAACAGATGCAGTCATCATTCTATTCACAAATGAATAATATCCCTCTCATTACAGAAGAACCTAGAGTAATGGATTTGTTTACATAATAACTTTTATAACAATAGCTTATGATAAATGCGGCATTATTAAACCAATTCCAAGTAAGCTGATTATTACTAAATAGGGTGTTGAAAATATCAATTATAGTCAAACCAAAGATCTCGTGGATAATAAAATAAAAAGAAAACACATCAAAAAATCTCACAATCCCTTGTTTAATAATGGTACTCTCCTCTATTCTATTTAAGGTCATTGGAGCGCACAGGAACATTAAGTCTATCTAACATTTTTGTAATAACATAAGGATGTGATGGAAAGCTCTGAGTTAAAGAAAACCAATAAGATTTTTAAACTTATGTCCGACATCATTAAGTCTAGATCTCCTTCCCAATGCCGTTCTCATCATTAAAAATTTAATCCCTATTCTAAATACTTAGTTAATGTAATTTTGTATTTGGTAAATTAGAATAATATTGTTCGTAGAAAAATGAAGGAACAAATGTTGGGTGATGCTCAATAACAAAAGCAATCATAGCAAGAGAATGAAAATATTCAACAATAGTCCCAAGATTCAAATCAGAAGATAGAATTCTAATAGTAAGAATCTAACTAAAAATTGGAATCCTAATAATAATTATTGGAATCGAACGTGAGAGATGATCAATAATAATTGAGCGGTTAAGAATGATTGTTTTAACTCTAAGATAATTATCAAAAAAGAAACATTTTATTAAAATATAAATTATTATATAAAAAAAATATATAGAGCTTTATTTAGCAGCTTTGTGATGAAGCACTAAAAAGATAGTAACTTGTTTATCAAACCTCTAAAAGTATTAGATCTATATTGATTAAGAAGAGCTAAAGATTAATTGGGTATGCCCGATTGAACTAAAATTATTTAGTGAATTAAAATAATATAAATATGAAAGAATTTTGAGAATTAAATTATATTTTATTCTTGGTTCACCCTTTTTTCTTAAGTTAAGGTGTTAAAATAAGGGAACTTTAAATTCATTTGATTTAGTTTGGTTTGATTATAATAGGAAATGTTTTTATTTATATGAAATTATGAAATAAACTAAAAAAAGATTAAGTTATATAAAGAATCAAAAGCCTGCAAACATAGAATGGATATTAAATCTTCTAGATTAGATACCTAAATATCAATTATAATAAAGCAACCTCAAATCAGCAACCCAAATTTAATTGTAAGGATTATAAGATTGCGATCAAATACTCAAATCGGAACTTTATTCTTTTAACAATAAGACAAATAAATTTTAACAGATCACATTTTCACTCTACCCCAATATGCTTATCAATAACTTTGGAGAATTCCTCATACTATCTACTTGTATCATGATTAAGAAAATTATCTAATATAAAGAGTTCATTGCCCAAGGTGTTTTATTGTATAATCACCATGGAAATCTATTTATATTTTATGAATCTTACGTTTAGCAATTAAATGTACCTATATTCCTTATTCTTAGTGGGAAAAATAATTAAAAAGATTTTGTAAACAACAAAATTTTTCTTAAAAATACACCATCAAAGAAAAATTATCCATTCCAAATCATTTTGTGTGTGTGAAAAATAAAAATAGTAAGAAATTATTAAATAACAATAGATCGAATTTACACAGTACAAATGATAAGATTTACTCATTTAAACGAATAAAATTATGAACAATTAATGAATGAAATAAATATTTTGATGTGTTTTAAGTAGAGTGGTTTAAATTAATTCCACGCATTGTTTGAAGATGGAGAAATCCTATACATTTTATACGATTATTGGATAGGAGACACCTTATTTAAATAATTGTAATAAGGATTGCTACTAACAATGCAACAAATTTCTCAAATTATTTATCAATTAATAAAGGTATGTAGATTCTTAACAATAAATAATCTTTATCATGCTGCAATTTTACCAACCAATATTATCTTATTGAGAAACAATAACAATGCTCAGCAATAAACAAAGATTACTTTATTTAACTTCAGTTTCAGAGATGTAAATTAAGTTTCTTCGATAATATAAAAATTACCAAATGCTTGGATACCTCCTGAGTTCTCTTGTTTAAATGTGAAGTAAGACCTTGCATAAATTGATTTATATTAAATCGGAGTTTTGCTTTACTACCTAACTATATTTCTACCTGAGAAAGGTATCAAACAAGGACCCTTTAATAAAACCATTGATAATTTTTAAATATAATATGCCTGGCTCAAAGGATTATAACATAAAAGCCCAATTCCTTATTCATATTCATTAGTCGACTTCTTATGCTAACTATTGGATCCAAATCCTCAAACCAGAATTACTTATTCAGTTGCGATTTGTCATCAATGGCTCATAAATTAGAAGCATTAATAAAATCCGATCGAAAAGGATAATATGAAAATTTTAGCATCTTTAAGAACCATCTTAGAATTGAGAGAATAAAACTCTAACGATTATGCATCATCTTAAAGATTCGATCAGAAATTAGAGTAACATATAACCAGCTCTTCAGAAGAGGATGATTAAGTATAGACTGTGGATGATTATCTCCATAGAATATCAAAGGAAAGAAACTGTATTCCTCACTATATAAACCTGATGAACATAATAACACCTTGCAAACACCCTTCTAGAAAATCAGTTAACGATTAAATTCATTTTGTTTGATTTCACTCTATATTTATCAAATTTTACCTACATATTAATTTTAAAAAGTAATTGATCTCTAAAAATGAAAGAATTAATTCTTAAATATATAAAATCACATACTCCAATAATTTTGTTTTTATTTATGTTATTAATATCTTTAATTTGTGAACAATACTTAATATACGTTAGCATAAATTAAATTATTATGTTAATAAAACTTTGACATATGATAGTAAATATCTGAATAGTTATAATATAAGGTATGATTAAATGCTTAATAATATATAATATTGTTATAATACTCAATTATCAGTCCAAGATGGTTTTCTCTTTTCTACAAATGCTGACATTCCCTCTTTTCTGTCTTGAGTTGCGAATGTAGAATAGAATGCTTTTCTTTCATACTTCACTCCTTCTCTTAATCCAATGTTTTCTGCCTCATTTATGGTGTCCTTTATCAATGCAGCAACAGGTCTATAATTATGATTATTTTTCCCATTACTTGCTAAATGAAGCTATCTTTTCAGCCACTTTTAATGTTTCCTCAACTAAATTTTATGCTGGAACTACTTTGCTGACTAATCCATATGAAAGTGCAGTCTGTGCATCAATGAATTCTCCTGTTAATGTCATTTCCATAGCCTTTGATTTACCTACTGCTCTAATTAATCTTTAAGTTCCTCCACATCCTGGAATCTAATTAAATAAGAGTATCTCTTACTGTTCCAAGTGTAATTTCAGGCAATCCAAATTTAGCATTCTCTCCTGCATAAATAATATCACACATCAATGCCAATTCAAATCCTCCACCTAAGGCATAACCATTTACTGCTGCAAGAATAGGTTTTTTAATATTGGTCAAGTTTTCCCATGCTAAAGATGATATATTTGTTACATGCAAGCATTTAGATGTTTTGAACTTATGGGAAAGATTTGTCCTACATTTCTTTAATGTCTGCTCCAGCTGCAAATGCTTTTTCACTTCCTGTAATGACAATTGATCCATATTCAGGATTAGCATCAATTTCCTATGTTACTTGGTTTAATTCCTTAATTAATCCATCGCAAAGAGCATTCAAAGCTTTTGGTCTGTTTAATTATATTAAAGCGACCTTCCCTTTTTGTGTAACACTTATGAAATTGTATGTGCTAAATCTGAACAATGCTTTCCTAAACATATAAAAATTTATTTATTTAGATAAAATGACGTATTTGAGGTGATTTATATAACATTGAATAAATTATTTCATTAATTCTTAATCTCCGAATTCATAACAACGAAACAAGTGATTAATTAATCACTTGTTTTTATTTCTCATTATCAGCAGTCATTTAATCATATACTAACTATTTTCCATTTGATTTAATGTAATACTGGTAGAATTCAATGAAATTTGTGGAATCCAAATAGGTCACCTTTTCTTTTTAAGCAGTAATGCTATTGACTTAAGACAATATAGTCTAACAGCAAATGCTTGAATAAATATCATTATTGATTTGCACTTATTCTGTTAATTGTT